CACAGCTCCGGAACCCTTCCGCTGCCGTTTTGCTCGCCCGACCCTGACTGCTGTCAGATCAACCCTTCGCGATCCCGCACCACGTTCCTCGCCTCAGCCCAACCACACACGCCTCCCCGCCATGCTTCCGGGTTGCCGATCGCCAAGTGGAGCTTAAGTGGAACCCCATCGCAGATCTCCAGTTCGAACTCGTGCGAGAGCGATTGAATAATAATCAAGACTATCGCTAAATCCGCCCTGATTCTCTAACGTTGCGTCCGCGGCTTGGCGGAGACCTTGTTTCTCGTGGGCTTCTCCGGGCGGGAGGGCTTCCGTGCATAAAGGGCATTCTACGGCGGTTCGAGAAGGGATGCATGACGTCAGTGGAGATGCAGGAGAAACCCATGCAGCACCAGGGATTGTGATCGCCGGCTGTGGCCTGATCCTGCGAAGATCAGTTTTGGCAGCTGCCGACGCTGAAGGGCAGATGGGGCAGTTCGGAGCGAGGTGGGCGGCTCGTGGGCTGTGATTTTGGTGGGACTGATGAAGGGGAGTGGCTGTGGGGAAGGAGGTGGGGGGTGGTGCGGGTTAGAGTTTGAAGATGGGAAGGGGTGCGATTCAGGTGAGAGCAGGCACGTGGCAGGTTCTTGAAGTAACTGACATGTGCGAGTAGGTTTGAGAGTGGAGGACGAAGCGAGGCTTGAGCTTTGAGGACTGATTAATGGTGAGTTTGGCCAGTATCGTCGACCAATCAGCGTTTAGCGAGCTTCAACTCTAAACCATCACCTGCTTGTCAGGAGGTAAGTCAATAGTATGGTGAGGTCATGGTAAGTTCAGTTATTCTTACTGCTTCAACATCTCTCCAGTATGCCTTTCCTCTCTTTCAAAAATCATGAGAAATCTATAAGTACCTGCTATCGCGATTCTACCATAGCTTGAAGATCACGTGATGTATGTCTTTCTGTTTTTGAAGTCTTAAGACGGCAGTGCGACGACCGCATAATCGATGTTTGAATTGTGTCACGTAAGAAACTTGAAGAGAACTGTGTGTTCTAACTTTCATTTGCAAAATGCCTCACGTCTCGTCCATAAACGCTCCTCTGGTGAGCGAAAACCCCTCTCCGGTTTATGAAGCTTCTCAATCGGGCAAAGACACTTTTCAGGCCAGCGAAGATGCCCAGACAAACGAAGATATTCACGAAGAAGCCGAGGGCGCTCCTCACGCAGACTCCTCTACTGCTAAACGCGACTTCCCATACGGAAGATGAGCTGGCTCCAGCTTTGGTACTTTCCTCGCAGTCTGCTTTTCTGGAGTTCTGGCTACATTCTTTCCCGAGCTGTAAGCTAAGACCTATCCTTTAAACTTCAACCTCCTCAGAACCGACCTTGTGAAGCTCAGGGCTGTTTCCGTCTGGTTCGCGGGACACCACCACGCCTGTCAGAACGCAGCCGACCCTTGAGGACGACAAGCCTGTTAGCAACCATTCCCTCCACTTTCCCCAGCGACTATCCACAAGTATAGCCCTCTGTTCCTCGACTCCCCATGCATCAGCGAAGGTGGGGATAGCTTCTGGGATACAGTCAGAGCGAAGGCAGAGAAGACGTGGCCGGTTTCAGCTGCACAATCGAAGAAGCGAATGATCGAGGGACCGGGAGTCGCGGAGAGCTGCTGAAGCACACTTGCTATGCGCCGAGGGCGAGTAAGGGACGTGATACCTGTCGGACGATTACGCTGCCGTTGAAGTCGAGCTTCATATGTCCGTTGAGTGAGTGGACCTGGCGGTTTTTGTGTAGAAGCTTAGAGAGTCTAGGTTTGTGATGGTATGCTGAGGGACGAGGCTGGCTTGGGGGTGTTGCGAGGCCGCGGTTGTGCTATTGACCCTTGCGAGGACATCGCGGTCTATCAATGAGGAGAGATGATAAAGCATTATGCTCTAATTCGAGACCAGAAGGAGTATTACAGGTCCCACCCATTTTTAAAATTCGTGGTCGCGAAGATAGGTCCTATGTCAAGTCCACATCTCTGATTACACCTTAGTGACGACGTCTGAAGCCCTTCGGCTTCGACATCCACGCCCTTCTCCGCACCCGTTTGTTGCCATGCAAAGTCTTTTAGTAACGGTGTCAAATTTTCAATACGACGTAAAGGTCCAGATGCTGTAAATCAGGTCATTAGCATTAGTTACTACAGGGAATCAGAATGGAGGTATTCATACTCCGTCAAACCTAACTAACGTCTTTTGGTTCATGAATGAAAGCACGATATCCTCCAACTTCAAAGCGTCCTAGAGGGCGATTGAACGGCGATAACTACAGACACCCTCGAGCAGAACTCAACCAAAAGACACACTTCTCAGACTAAACCCGAATGGCCGCCCAATTGCTTCTTCTTCCGTAACATTCAACGAATCTCAAGAGGGAGTGAAAGGCGGCACTTCAACAGACACCCCCGAGCCCACGACCAAAGTTCTAAGGCTACCTATGGAGAAGCATATAAGAATTTCCGCTAATTATCCTCGATATGAGCAGTGGCTCCGGAGAACTAGGCTTCTAACATTGATTCCGTCGGTCCGCACTTTATGTAAGACTGGCGAAGTTGGTCAGTCTGCGAAGTGGAATGCCCAAGTGCCAAGGGACTCAGGGGACTGTCTCAAAGTTCAGGTTTAAAGAATGAGACTGTACTGCAATATGAAATACACTCAATGTTCATCTGTCCCTCCACATTACTGTAGGAGATCGTTTTGCAGCTGGTGGATAGATAGTCATCGACTCACCTCAGCATAAGAGTCTCAAAGCCCCACCGTTCCACCAAGCCTCACCGCGAATACTCACAATCATTCTTTCTTTTTCCCCTCGACCCCCAAAATACTCCCCCTTCCCCCCGTCCTCCTCCTCCTCCTCACCCTCGCCGCCCTCGCCAGCGCTCACGGCTACGTCGACAACGCCACCATTAGTGGCGTCTCCTACCAATTTCACTAGCCCTACTACGACCCCTGCGTCTCACCCCCTATCTCCCGCATCTCCCGCCCAATCCAAGGCAACAGCTCCGTCCAGGACGTCACAGTCATTGGTTTCCAATGCAGCGGGTATACCGACGGCGGCGCCCCGGGCTGCTCGCCTGCGGGACTGCACGCTCGCGCCGCCGCGGGGAGCGAAGTGACGCTGTACTGGACGGTACAGCCGGACAGCCATAAGGGGCCCATTGTGACGTATATGGCGCGGTGTCGGGATGCTGGGTGTGCGAAGGTGGTTGCCTGGGAACTGCATGAGGAGACTCTCTCCCCCCGCCACCTCGACGCCTCATATACTCCCCTTTACAAGCCGGAAATCCTTGATTGATGAGACAGTAATCGCAGAGCCGTCTAGTCCAAAATGGCCCAAGCCGGCCGCCACGGCGCACCCGACACATGGGGCGACCTCGCCCCTCATCATCGCCGGGAACTTAGGCACGGCGTACACCATCCCTTCCTGCTTTGAAGGCCGGGTACCATCTCGGCCGCCACGAAATCATCGCGCTACACTCCGCGTTACGCGTATCCGGGCGCGCGGTTCTACCTGTCGTGTCATCAACTGTAGGTGTCTGGAAGTAACAGTACGGTGCCGGGGGAATTGGTGGCGTTTCCGGGGGCGTATGAGGGAGGGGATGGATGCGGAAATTACTTACGATATGTAACAGGGTGAGTTTGAAATGAGGTGATTGTTGAGATGGGAGAAGGGATCGAGAACTTGGGAATGAGGCTAATTCGTTGACAGGGGAAACGTACACGGTTCCGGGGCTGAATGTGTTTTCGTGCTAAGGGTGATACAGACGAGAGACATCCAGAAGGACGAATTTGTGGGGATGAAGGGTCACTCGGAGAGAAAGAGGTGCTGCAACGTGAAGATCCTGTTCGAAGCGTCATTTGGAATACATACCGCTCTATCACCGGCCCTAGGGGAAGTTTTTGTCATGTTCTCACGTGTTATATTCAAGCTTTCGACGCTCTAATGAGTGCAGTGCGTCTGTTGACTCATCCAGTGGGAAGCGTGTCCGGATAAACATGAAGTACTTTCTTTCCTTAAATACGAGCCACTACCATGGCTTCTCTCATTGATCAGTGTTCCTTTGGCTATTACCGGGGTAGTGTTGCCATTGGCCTATACATGCCTTAGGAAACAGCAAGTAGATGTTGCGTCCTCAAAATATCTTGATCCTCTCGACCCACGTCTCAGCCAACATTTCGGTGACCTCGTCAACTCTAGAGATTGACCCAACGCGACGAAATGCCCATCTCCCCAACGAACCATCCCGCTCCAGAACGATTCCATGGTGTACAACCCACCTATCAAACTCGTTTCGATCCTCACTCCTCACGAGGAGGAGTATCTGAAAGCCCTCCGAGCTAAAGATGGGGCTTACCTTTCTAGCAGGAAGCAGTTTGCAGTCCTGTTCAATGTAGGACGCTGGTCCAACCCCCTGCAAGCGCTCTCACCATCTCGTTGAACGTAGGAAGTGTTAACCCGAGTGAACTCGAGGTCTTCATAACCATAGTTCTCGAGGGAATGGTCCCATATCACACCAGACGCCACCGGCAACGACGCCCAAGACGATGTCGGTGCATGACAGGAAGTAGAGCGAAGAGGGTCACTGTCCCACACAACCGGTCCTGCTCGGGCTTCTAGACCCTGATTGCGAGGAGTAGTCCAGCAAAGATACAGTAGCAAACTCTGTGCCCATAAGCCGGCGAGGTATTTTAGCCTTTGTACGAATCAGCCATTTTCATCGCCATTCCTGCAAGGGCGGGTAAGATGTCCGAAGCGTTCGTAAGTGTTCTAACGGAGTAGTCTTCGACCACGTAGCGCCACAACCAAGCTAGGCGCCTACGGTTTGGATGTACTTCTATGGCTAGACTCTGGACGGCAGTGCCTGGCTGTGCTTTCCAGGTCTTGTGCCCCTTGGTACTCGGAGGTGAGGATGACGACAGTCGAATGCTAGCAATGGTATTCGGCGGCAGTCTCCAGAAAATACTTTACCATCTGCGTCATTCGATGCAGTACAGAACCCTGTTAGAGAGGGTCTCTTCCTGTAGAGTCCATCCACGCCCCTTCCAGAAATACCGCAGAGCAGCTTGTATTGCTTTGGGAGCTGTTAAATTGAAGTCGTTCAAGCTGATTAGAATGCTAACGTTCGTTGAAGGGAGATCGTGTGCTGTAATAAAGCTTTCGGAAGCCTCGATTGCTTCCCCAGCAACTATCGTCAGGTCGGCGCCGGCATAGATTCGCGACATTTCCGCGGCCTCTTTGCCCCAATCGGTTTTCGAATCTTGGATTATGTATAAGCTGTCAATCCAAATATAATCGAAGCCTACCGCTCTCGCAAGTTTGATGGCATCCTTAATTGTTTCCGGTAGTTTCGTTAGCAGAGCAATGTAGTTGCCCGCGAGCCAGATTCCGTCGTGTGGTTACATAGGTTGGCTGATTGACATTATCAGATTCGGGCAGGCCCCAGCAATACGACAAGGTCGCGTAATGTGTCCTGACCCGACTTTCGGTGCGTTCCGCTATCTGTAGACCGTCATCGCCAACTGATATGTCTACCAAGCGAGTTAATTCAAAATCTTTTTGCAATTTGTAGGATTCGTGCAAGCTGGAGTCATTACATTCTTTCAACCGCTTTCTTGCCTTCTCGAAACCCTTGTTTGTAATGATGTCTGTGGGAGGAGTTGGAGTTGGAGTCGAAAAATCTAGTAGCCTACGTCAGCTGGTTGAGCGAAACAAAACGATCAAGATGATCCTTCCTACCAGAATTTCCTACGTAGTCAAGGTCTGGAGCATGGGGACAATAGTCGACCACGAATTTGCGATGTCCCCAACTCTTTCCCCGTTGGATCTGAGACACGGATGTCGTGACCTGCTGGCCCTTTGAAATGTAGCTGAGGTACATGATGTGGGCAATAAATAGACAGCTCATCAGAATAGGGGCTGTAGCCGGACTCTGTACTTAGTGCAGAGCTGCCGTCAATGATAGGGACTAAGTCCAGCAAAAGCCGTATGAACACTTCGTGAGCCGGCGCTTCTCGTGGACACAAGTCGTAGTATTTTCAGTTCCGATACATCAGATCGCGTCTAAGCACCTCCCGGATGAATTTGCTCTTTTGACAGCCCGAATCTGACTGCTCTTTAGTTTTGGAAAGTCGGGATAGAGGACCCACGACTCGAAGGAGATACGAGTGTAAGTCAGCCCATCATCGAATTCACCGTTGATCGCCTGGCGTCTGAAGCACGTGACTGAGACCTTGAAAGAGTCTTGTCGGGTCCCCTGGTCAAAGTCGATTCTCGGTAGAATGCTTCTAGCAACATTAGCCATTTCTCCAACGTCGGGCACGAAGCGTTGGCGTACTCCTTCTGCCATCCTTCCGGGGTCGGAGGGTCAGGGATTGTTGGCGGAGTTTGATCGAATACGCACGTTCGACCACTAGAAAGCCCTGTGGTATTAGGCTCTAAATATATTAAGCCTGAGTGATTAGACCCGCCGTGAAGCTCAAACAGAGGATATTTCGTTTCTCCACGCTGCAGCCCGATCTTAGTCACTCGTTCGGAAGGCCGCTCCTCCGACTAGATCGAAATGTCGACTCCAATGGTATTGATCGATGAGGTATTTGAAACTAGTAAGGCTGGTAGCGAGATCCTGTCAGGTGGCAGGGCTCTTCAACGGTCCAGGTCTTGTCTGTAACGATATAGAGCTTCCTGGGGATGAACTGAATAGACGGCTGTGAAGAGTACGAAGAAACCGACAGGCGCCCGAGAAGGGACGATTAGTGTAGAAGACGACGCATGCTTATCAGCAGTTTGTGGTGTTGCCTGTTCAGCCTTCTTCGAGGCTTAGTCCTAGTGATGAGGTTTCCAGGCTTCTGGCTATGATGCGCACCTTTGATGCTTAACCAGCACGCACGGTATCAGGGCAAAGAGTTTGGTCTGCATCGGAAGAAATCAAAAAACGTCTCTGATCAGTTGGACTTTTCTGTCAGCAAGCCCGAACGGAGGCCGAGCAGAAATCTGGGGAGAATGTCAGAATTAGCGCTAGTCTTGTTCAGGCTACGGTGACGACAGCCTTAGCCCTTCCATCTCAGCTGTATGACAACAACAACACCATGTTCGGGCTGGCGAGAGCAGTGTTGCTTGCATCTCAGCATCCAGAATACATTCACCGTTGACATAACATGCTGATACATGTCTGGCACAGATGTGACGGCCCTGAGCGAGGAATCGTACCTCGGTCCTTTATCACGACTAGCTCAAAAAGCCCAGGGCTTTCCCCACATTCATGATGCACACAGCAGCGCCATGCGAGTCGTCGGGATGCGCGCTCTTTGAGGACAAGCCCGAGCCTGACCTCTACGGGAACCTCACGCGGCAATTGCATTGAGTGGTACATAAGCTCTTCCCAACTCCTCTCTCGAGGAGGCTACTTACTACTCTCCAGCTTCGTCGCCCTCACCTTCCATCCCCCTCCACTCCCCCCTCACAATGCCCTTCCACCCGCCCTCATGGGTGCCACAGCTCCCCTTCGACCCGCCCGATTCGTGCACCGTCGCCGACTTCATGTTCGACGAGAACTATGGTCGCTACCCACTCGGCTACTCGAAGCCACCTTTTACGTGCGGGATCTCAGGCAAGGAATACTCGACGCTGGAGGTGAAAGAACGGGTTGACTTCCTCTCGCGAGGGTTGGCAAAGGAATTGGGATGGAGTCCGAATGTTGGAACGGAATGGGACAAAGTGATTGGCGTTTTTAGTGTGAATACTGTGGGTTGCTTGGACACGGTGTATTACAGATGAGAATAGCACAGCTGATTCATGACAGCTGGATACCCTTCCCCTGGCGTGGGCGACCCATCGTCTCGGTGGGATACAAACACCCGCCAATGCCGCCTATTCCGCTGCCGAACTCGAGTTCCAATTGAAGAACTCGAGTGCGAAATGTCTTTTTACATGTCTCCCATTGCTCAAGACAGCTCTACAAGCGGCTAGCGGTGCCGGTATATCCAAGGATAGAATCTACATTCTAGAAGTACCGAAGGAGGCGACTGGTGGACAAGGCACTCCAGCAGGCTTCAAGACCGTCGACGACTTCATCAAGGAGGGGGCAGGACTCCCACGGTTAGAGGCATTGAATTGGGAGGATGGGGATGGCGCACGGAAAGCCGCGTTTCTATGCTATTCGAGTGGGACATCGGGCTTGCCGGTATAACCTTAGTGCTGCATATCTTCGTCAATCTCCTGCTAATCGAAACCACAGAAAGGCGTTATGATTTCCCACCGCAATGTAATCGCAAACACTTTGCAGATGGCTACATACGACAAGCCCGACCGGGATAAGCTAAGAGAACCTGGAAGTCAAGTCGACTATATCGAGACCACCCTGGGTCTCCTCCCATTCAGCCATATATACGGCCTGGTCGTGATTTGTCACGCGGGTATCTACGTGGGTGACGGGATATGTGTACTACCCAAGTTTGAAATGAAGCAATTTCTGGATGCGGTCGAACGCTTCAAGGTGTCGATGCTATATCTAGTAAGAACATTGAATATTTCCGCCCCTACGCGCATTTCTGAACTTCATCCTAGGTACCTCCGATTATCATCGCTATGACGAAGAACAAAGCCGTTCTGGACAAGTACGACCTAAGCCATGTCAGAGCCATCTTCACCGGTGCTGCACCACTTGGTAAAGAAACAGCAGAAGATTTGCAGCGGATATTCCCGAAATGGGCCATCCGACAGGCCTACGGTATGTTCCCCCCTCCCCCGAAACTCACCCCGACACCCCAAATCCCTCTCTCAGTCCTAACATACCGACAGGCCTCACCGAAACCTGCACCGTGGTCTGCTCCACCAGCCCCCATGACGTCTGGTACGGCTCCTCGGGCTCTCTCCTCCCAGGGATCGAATGCAAAATCGTCACCACCGAAGGCGTCGAAGTCGAAGGCTACGACCAGCCCGGCGAACTCTGCGTCAAGTCCCCAAGCGTCGTGCTCGGCTACCTCAACAACGACAAGGCCAACAAGGAAACCTTCGTCGACGGCTTCATGCACACGGGCGACGAAGCCGTGATCCGCAAGTCCCCAAAGGGCCATGAGCACGTCTTCATCGTCGACCGCATCAAGGAGCTCATCAAGGTCAAGGGCCACCAAGTCGCCCCCGCGGAGCTGGAGGCCCACCTCCTCACCCACCCCGCCGTCAACGACTGCGCTGTCATCCCCGTCCCAGACGACAAAGCTGGCGAGATCCCGAAAGCGTTTGTGGTCAAGTCGCCGAATGTGTCGCTCGAGGAGAGCGACCGCATGCTCGCGCGGCAGATTGTGAAGCATGTGGAGAAGCATAAAGCGCGTTATAAGTGGATCACGGGGGGAGTGGAGTTTATTGATGTGATTCCAAAATCCCCGAGTGGAAAAATTCTAAGGCGGTTTTTGAGGGATAAGGAGGTTGCGGCGCGGAAGAAGAAGGGGGCGAGGCTGTGATCACGTGGATTCGGGATGGTTGGACTGGGGTGGAGAGTACCTTGGATGTGGGTGCTATGGGGGGTTGGGAGATAGGATGTATATAGTCCGAGACGCAAGCCTGAGTTGGTTTGACTGAACAAGTCCTCGAATATTGTAAAATGTGCGCATCGTTTGACTCAGTAACGATCGCCTTTGTGGGGAGCCTCCGTGTCTTGGGAAGTGGGGGACCCTGTATGAGTCCTGTCGACTAAAGCACTAGAACACGAGGCTACATTCCCTTGCCCCCTTTCTAGGCAGTTTCAATACATTATCAAAAACTACCTCCAGGACCATTTGAAAAGGTTTAGCAACCTTGTCTAGGCTGATTGGTTATATACGCAAAATTACGGTACCCGCATACCTATTTCACTTCATCATTGATATTCACTACACACTCTTAACTCGTGAAAGGGTCCATTGCTATACAATTGATCTACCTATGAAACGCAAGAGAATGAGCAAGTCGTGCCAGAGCCTTAGCAAGTCACGTCGGAAGAAGACAGATATTTAGACAGTTGAAAGAACGCAAAGAAACGCCTAGCGCAATCAATTACTCTCTACCCGGCCTCAATCGGATTCATAGCACCAGAACTAGGACTCCCCAACTTGAGGAAAAGTCCAATTTAGTTTTCGTCAGTAACAACCTCCTTCTCAGAAGCCTCCTCGTACACCGGTGGTGCCTCGCCCTCATAGTCGGGGAGATCCGAGTAGACCTCTTTGTCGCTGCCCTTGGGATCGACGGCTTCTTCGTCGTTTTGGGCGACACTCTCATAATTCCCTGCCCTTACGCCACGGATCTTGGCCCATATAAGGGCAATGGCGGAACCGATAACCATGCCGATGATGTAGGTGAGCGCACCGGCGAAGATTCCAACAATGATGGGGAAGACAATCGTGAAGAGCAACCAGCGGGCGCGGGCCAGGGCCTTGGAATGGTGATGATGATGGCGGTGGGGACGGTGACCATCCTGGTTTTCAGAGTGATGCGGGCGATGATGGGGACGGCCAGGGCGATGGGCGTGCTTGCCATGTGCGCCTGGCCGCTTGCTCTTGTGGCAGCCTTTCGAAAGCTTTGTCTTGATGGCTTCGAACTTGTCGGCGACGATAGACTTCCACTTGCAGACGAGGGGCCATTCCTTGCTGCACTCCTTGGTCTGCTCTTTCGGGCTTCCTTCGATAGCAGCAGGGGCAGGTTGGATAGACGCGATCATCAAACGTCCGGCGTTGTCCTTCAAGAGGAAAATGGTAAGAGCAGGTGGGGAAACAGAGTGTGTCTCGACGGATGTGATTCGAAAAGTCATAGGAAGGAGTTCGGTACCAGCTTCGCTGATAGTCTCGGCGGTGTTGTAGTGGAAGGAGTAGCCGGTAACACGGAGGCGGAGAGGTTTATCGGACCCGGCATCAACCTGTGTGACGGTGAAGGGCTCCGAGAAATGGCTGAAGGATGGAGGGTACAGTTGAGCACCGCTGATATCAAGTGTGGCCATGTCCTGACCGATTTCGAAGTCGATGAGCTGCACGGAGTCGTCAGTCAGCGTAGAACACAGCCTTGCGATCTAGGAATACCTACATAAGAGGTCCCGACATCCTGAGTCCACTTCAGCGTCTTCTCGCCTGATGCCACAGGGCAGCCGGGGCACTCGACAGTGACGGCCTGCTTGTAGGCATCGACACCGAGAGTCTCGATACTGTTGTCGTCGCCGATGCTCTCGATACCGAGGTTTGGTGGGATGATGATGGCGCTCGCAGTGGCGGCCAGCGCCAGGGCAGCACCGAGCCCGGAGGAAGGGAAGCGCATAGTGTCAAGAGTCGGCCAATACGCAAGAGATAGTCTTGGGATAGAGTGTTGTTGGATGCAGAGGAGGGTTGTTGTGAGGTGTTGAGGGCGGTAGAGTGGAGACAAAGAGGCCAGCCAGAGGAGGCTTAGAAGCGTCGTCATCCGGCCCGCAACAACATCACGTGCACTCCATAAATATCTCTCCACCTACTTTCAACCCCAAACCCTGAGGCGCCCCTGACATCGTCTCACATCGGTTTCCATCTCGTCAGGCTCCAACTTTCCGCAATGAGATTTGATCCTCATCGTGAAACCTAACTACTCGAAGTCTGAGATCATGTGACTTTGTCTTTTCTGAGAATGAACGTCTCCAAGATTCCCACCAATGAACGCCACCGTCTTAATAACGCCTTGCCCATATAAAGTAGCCACGACACTACTCTGAGGTAACCCGGCAAACTACAGGAAAGCCAGAAAATCTTCTGTCTACGGCGCTCGCCCCATGGCAGTCGCTATGCAGAGCCCGAAGACAAGAATACCTAGGTACACAACACTGACCACAAAAATGAAGCATGAGCCACCTACTTTGAAATATGGGGATGGCATTGCGGTCAAGCGTTCCACTGTTCTTGCAGCATCGGGACAATAGAGACAGATAACATTCTAGCGACGGAGGAAAGAGGGTTACTGAACGAGTCCAACCAAGAGTCCTCCATTAGTAATCAACGTTCGCTCTCAAAGCCCCTATGCAGGTCTCATCACATATCTCCAGGCGATGTGAGTGGGTCGCAGTGCCTTAGCGCAATACTTCCTCGCTACCACGATGTCAGACGAGGATTCACAGTATAAAGCGCAGAGGTCAACAAGTCAGATATCGTGAAGACCAGTTACGGAGACTCCAGTAAGCTTCAATTTGACAGCATTGAGAAGCATGAAATCAAAGCTAGCATTTGGAGACCTTGTGCCTATTTTCAAAGGAATCTGAAACAAATGCCAAGCCTTCGGCTCCTAACTTCCAACAATTTCCATAGACGAAGCAATGATTGGGGAACGGAGTGTATAATATTGAGGTAGCCGACGTGTTCAAAAAGACAGCATTGGAAATACTTCCGTCGATAATGCGTGGCCAGTTACACGAACTTTCTTTTGAAACCCCAAATCAACGACGATGATACTCACTAGCCCCCAGTCTCTCAACCTCCGAGATCGAGCTCATATTGGTGGTCAATGATATCTCGTCTACCTGACACGTTTCCGTATCAGGAATTTTGCGGTTTGGGTCGACGAAACTCGGTAACGATGGGGCTGTTGCCTTCGAATTTGTTCTTGTAGTTCGGCCCACCCATCCAGACGCGGAACGGTAGAGCAGCCGAAGCTTACTATTGATACTTCCGTCTTCTTTTGGGAGGTAGACCCGGAAGACCGGCAAGGAAGTGCAGATAACGGCAAATCCAAGATGGAGGCCCGTCCACAACGAAAGACCGGCCATTGAGGTGATGGTGTCGTCCTTTCCTGGATGGTAGCCGTAGACCATGCGTATGACGCCCGTTAAAATAACCCTTTTCCCATTAGAAAGAATTTCATGAGCGAAATGTAGAAACTCACAATCCTCCGGTCAAGAAAATCGTTGCGATACCAAACCTCTCACGCAATGGTAGCCGTAACTTCCAAATAATCCGAATCGGTAAGCATACGAGTGCTAAGTCCAGGCATGCATTGAAAATCTCGCTAGACAAGAATCCAGTTTGATTGTCAAGGCATTCTCCTGCGACAGTAGCGTCGAGAAGGGCGGCGATGGGCTTGCATTGAAAGGACACGGTGAAAATGAGGCAGAGAAGCCAAAGAATGGAGAGCGCGCCGACGGTTTTCAGGCTCCATCCAAGCCACCGTTTGATGCTGAAGAGTCTGTAATAGAGGAATATGACAGACATGCGTGCGACGACTTCGCAAGCATCCGTCAAGAGGATTGAGGCATAAGCCGTCTGGAGTCATCAGCGAACCGTTCAGTCTCTCGTCGTGAATTTCTCTCCCGAAGAACTTACCCGCAATGCATAATCCTGATCTGTAATGGAGAGTTCGTGGGTTGGTACCCTTTTTACCCGAGGTACGTTCTCTACATGGCCATATCGTTAGTATTGAATCCGTGGACCATATGTTAAGGATGAATGATTTACCCAGAATAGTACAGGCGAAATCGCCCCACATGAAAAGAAGAGCAGAAAGCGCGATCCAATCATCCCACTTCAGGACTGCTTTGGTTCGCCTCCTTGCTATGAACCGAAGGACAATAGCTATGGTAGCCGCAACACCCATGACCGTATGGGAAAGCCATATTTTTAGATATTCTTTTTCGGCCTGGTCCATAGTGGGAACGTAGTAGGAGTCAAAATGTAGGACGAGGATGAGAGATACTTGGAAAACGAAGGGCGCGGCTTACACCTTTTGTGGACTATGTTACGAAATTTTGGTGTCGTGTAACGTTGCCCGGATCCTGAACCATCAAATGTATGCCGGTCAACCCACCGTCGACGAAACGGTGTGGCTCCACAAGGAAATTAATTGATATCGGCTACGGTCAGTGAAATCGGCCCGCAGGCTGCGAACTGGGGGCACATTCTTGTTCGATCGTTGCATCGTTGTATACCCTCCTGTCGTGCCCAAAGACAACTGAAGAGCTGTCTGTGTGACATTCTTCATACTCGGGTCTCGGGGGGTAGTTCGACACCCTGTCACACAGCAGGACCCAAGAAACCATATGGGGTCCGAGTAAGTCCCCGAGACGGACTCCGAGTTTTGATAAAGGTTGCTTCCTATCTGTCACGAATGGGCCACTGCGCACTTGTAGATGCAAGGCGTCTCGATCTATCTACCAAAGAGTACCGTGATCTCATCTTCGCACTCCATCGGAATTTCCCCCGAGAAACGGCTGGAGTAATCTTATCATATGGCTCAAATGGCTACCGGGCTTTCGACACATATGACTAAAAGTCTACAGGGCGTTCTCCCCAAACTTGCGGCCGTTACACAATCAAAGCCGTCGTCAGCGGACGTCATTGATCTTTCTTCTGCGGAAAATCTGCTAGTTCGAGATCAGGTTCGGAGCATTTGCACCGCTGCTATTCAGAATCATCTGACCAGTGATGTTCGTAGCCAAGTTTCCGTTTATGAGCAGCATATAATTTGACAGCTGACATCTCTCCAGGTTCTTTCTCAACTTCCGACCTTTGGCGGAGATGTTGACACGCGCACAGCATTGGCTTCTTTTTTCAACAACTTCTTCCGACCGGCCAGTACTGTTTCGGTAGACCAGATAGTCCTCACGGCCGGCGCAGGAAGCTGCATTGAAGCATTGGTCCACAGTATCTGTGATGAAGGAGACAGTGTCATTATCCCAGGTCCATATTGGTGTAAGTGGTAACCATCTTCGGCTATTCAACGCAAAAATATTGAAATGAGAGATTAGTCGGCTTCGAACCTTACATCACTTTGCGTCCAAAAGTCAACATTATTACAGCAACTCCTATAAGTTACGAACATCACGCTACAGATATGCTCGCCACTTTGCGCGCCACGTATGTCGCTACCGAAAACCCACAACGTATAAAGGCAGTCATACTATGTAATCCACACAATCCATTTTCGCAATGCTATCCAGAAAACATCCTACGCGCGTGTATGAACTTCTGCCAGAAGCTCAACTTGCATTTCATTTCAGACGAGCTGTATGCGCTGGCTACGATGAAATCCACTCAAGAGCAGAGCCCGAAGTTCATTTCTGCTCTCTCGGTCGCTCCCGATCCCAAAGATACCAATGAGATGATAGACCCTAGTCTTGTTCACATAGTCTGGAGTGCAAGCAAGTTGTTTGGACTCAACGGCCTGAGAATTGTAAGCCAACTTTACTCATAAAAACGAACTCATCGCTCACACTTTCCCCAGGGCTGTTTGGTGTCTCAGGCTAACGCTCAAGTGCGGGCTGCTGTCTCACTGCTAACTTATTCGAACACTTCTTCACTGAGCGCCATCGCCCTGAAAGCCCTGCTGTCAACGCCTGATCTTTCTTCCATCCTTGATATCAATTCACATCGCTTGACTGAATCTTACTCGCGATTTGTCGAGCTATTCGAAGAGTGTGGTATCGAATATCTACCAGCGCACGAAGGCCTGTTTGTCTTTGCGAAACTTGGGAAGAAGGTGAGAAATGCTGAAGAAGAGATGATCTTCTTCGAGAAATTGAAAATTGACGGTGTTACGGTAAGCCCAGGCAGGTTTTACAATGGTTTAAGCACGGAATTTGGGTGGGCAAGGATCACAGTGGCTGTGCCATTGGAGATTGTTGAGGTAGCCTTAGAAAGGTTGAGCAAATGCATTTCGTAGAGAACCCGGGAGCTTGTAAACTGAGAAGAGTTACATATTGATTCATATGTGAACGTACAACTTTGCAGGATAACGCCGTCTGAGTTGGCTCCACAGTCCTACAGGCTGTTCAGAGAGTTTCACTGGAAGTTTAAAAATGGGTTGAAGCATACCAGCCAGCGCCAGACTGGTCTACCTACACTGAATCAGATACAGTATCTAACGCGTGAGCTTTCATTAACAGTGCCAGCTATCCTGCCAGCGTTATCGTCGCATACCCCATTCAGTGTACGTACTCCCGAGAGTCCTCGAATCCTTTCTTGTTCAACCTGGCGCCTTGATTTGTTTCTTCTTAAAAATAATCAGAGCCACAAGCACACATGCCCCAGCAAATGCTATGATAACTTCCATCTGTAAGCGATAGCCTTCAACGAAAACCTCCTCCACGACAAGTTTCACTTCGCGAGGGAACTGATGAATCGCCGTCGTGGACTGCAATAGTGCCTCTAGCTGCACTGGTTTCAAGATCGAAGGAAGTTCCGATTTAAGCTTCGCATTCATGAGACTAGTAGCCACTGAAAGACCAATAGTACTGCCAAATTGGCGGAACTGCATGATTGCACCTGTCGCCGTTGCTTTTTGCAAACATTAGCGTATGCTTCAAATCAGATATCTGCGACGCTACTAAACCTGGTGCATCAAATCACATACCTAGATCTTGCAGATCAACACTTAACGGCGTCATAACAACCAATGTCCCAAACATCATACCAAGTCCTAAACCGGCGAGAATCTGGCACCCGTATTGTGCTCCAGAAACTTCTTTTCCAGTACCGTAGATGCAGAATAAAGAGAGTCCGATTAACTGGAAACAAGCCCCTGCAATAACGAAATACACGGGTACACAGTTTTTCTGGCGTGATATGAACCCATTTGCGAACACTGCGCCAAAAGGAGCGAAGAGCGCGTATGGAAGGAGCCGAAGACCGGATTGGAGAGGTGACATGTCGGAGATTGTTTGCAGTTTCTGTGGGATGGTGACAACGAGGACACAGAAAGGAATGCCGAGAAGTAATGACACTCTAGATCACATGTAAGAGCGAAAGTGATGTGGAAAGAGCCTTGAGAACTCACAGCAGCATGCCCATCCAAGCCCTGTTATACACGAAGCGCCATGGAAAAATTGGTTCCGGCATATTTGACCCAAGCGTAATATACCTCTCCCACGAAATGAACGATATAGCGAGAGCTACAGAAATGACTAGCAGCACAATGGTCGGCGCTGATGACCATGAATACTTGGTCGAGCTTTCAAGGAGAGATGTTACGAAGGTGAAGGAGGCGCCGGTAAATAAAAACGCTCCTAGAAAGTCCATTCGTCGAAGATTCGGTAAGGACGAGTTTTGCAAGGCCATTGGCGCAGTCTTTCGGCTGTGACACGGGAAGCTATTTGGGAGCGTAATCAAGAGAATGATGATGGTTGTCACGCCGATTGGGACACTGACACAGGTTACCATGATGGTCGATAGATGACTGAGGGAGGGGAGTCTTACTTAATGAGAAACACCCAGCGCCAGGAACAGTTCTCAGTTATCAAGCCGCCTATTATGGGGCCAAGTAACGTTGCCAATGCAACAACGGCAGAAACAATACTCCCATAGAATGGATACTTTTGTGTAGGAACCATTTCGAAGACGATAACGGAAGCTACGGAGAAGCATCCAGCACCTCCGAAACCTTGGAAGGCTCGCAATACGATTCTAGCATTAGGTATTAACACAGCAGAGCTCACAGAATAGATAGTCTTGAATGCCTTACAATTGCGTAATCGTCTGTGCAGCTCCACATCCTGCAGAAAACGCCGTGAAAGCAACGAGAGAAGCTGTTAGTGCCACTTTTCGTCCAATGATGTCGCTGAGCTTTGCCCATATAATGATCAATCCTTCAAAAGCATCAAACAAGAATTTCGAGAGAAGACAAGAGTGTGAATTTGGAATTGCAAATGCCTACCAGTATAGGTGGTAAGATATGCGACCATGACCCACCCCGTTCGACTAAACGCTCGGAGATTATTTGAAATGTCGACCAAAGCTGTGCTGACTACTGTAACTTCGAAGTTGGGCAGAAATACGGAGCAGCAGACGCTTTTGGAATCAGTGTGGTTGAGCGAATTGGGAGACACCATGCATACCAGAATGTTACGAAATGAAGTCTCCATCCCGTTAGGTGGGTTCTTTGGAGAGTTCTGCCTCCTGCTTCTGCTCCAGTGCTGCTCTCATTGTATACAATCGGCTCCAAGGGAAGGATTGTCGATGTTGGTGAAAAATCCTTCTTTGCCTGTGTTTCTGCCATATTAACGCATGCACTGTCAAAAGACGAGTGACAACAATGATACCAATCGAACATTTTCAAAGTGCAGCTCAAGGTGTATTTCTGTTCTTCGCCGAGCTTGACCGCGACGACAAGTCAACCTTGCTGATAGTGTAGCCATAATCAGCGTCAAACATAGTTGAACACCGAGGCAGGGCAGGAACTGTGAAATGTGTCACAGTGTTACCGTTTTGGTGTTTCCATTCCATGCTGCACCGCCGAAGAATCAATTACCCCGTCAATTACTCTACTCCGTTTCGGAACCAAACAGTCGGCTAGAAATTCTTTTAATGCGGTGTGACTAGAACTATATTTTGGGGCCGATCCATCTAAGTTCGGTATCATTGCCTTCCAGTGTATAACGTAGCAATGGGGACCTACAGTATCTCGTCATAGGTATCCGCATAGTTCCCTGCCGGTGTGGGCAGTGCGTTGAAAGAGAGACATGAGGCGATGATAAACACATTCGGACTGTGAAAAGTCCCCTGACACTGTCTAGGGTAGCTTCGCGAGCTTAATAACTCTCCAATATGCCAACTTTTCACCTGATCCGAAATACTGAAAATACCATGAGGTACCACAACCAGTGGCAGGACGAGTCACTGTAATCTATTCGGTCTCCGGCCCCGTCTAAGGCAGACTATCGCTACTCCAGCATTGCATTCTTGAAGGCAACCCCATTGCGAAATGCCGAGACACCAAGGGATATTAATATTCCGTTCGAAATAATCTACCATCCTTTTCAGACCTTCACATAGGGAGATCATCCATCAGAATCTCACGTTACCATTACCTTTAACAATATCTACTCAGGGATCCTCAAATAGAATTCAACTATGGCTTCAGTGCAATTTCAAGAAAGGACAGATTTCCCATCCCCGATGCCTATTCATCGCCGTAAACAAGTCCTCGTCAACGTCGTGGATGGTTTAGCCAAGGTCAAGCCCCACGCAACCTACGCCTATCTCCCCATCTCTCCAACAGGGTATGAGAAGGGATTCAGAAAGCTGACGTACCAAAAATTCGCCAATGCAGTCAACGGTCTTGCATGGTGGCTGACGACGCAATTCGGGAAGAGCACGTCCTTCGAAACTTTGACATACGTTGGTCCAAACGACTTCCTGCACAACGCCTTGATTCTGGCCTGTGCAAAAACGGGGTATAAGGTGAGCATCTTTGCCTCTCTTCAGCTCGTTTTTCTCTTGCTAAGAGTGAGCTTTAGCTATTCCTAGCATCTTTTCGAAATCAACGAGATGCGCTCACAGCACTCTTTCGGCAAATTGATGTCAAGGCGGTCCTTACCGCTGATCCAAAATCTGAGCTTACTGCCAGATATCAAGAAGCCTCTCCGATGCCCGCATTCCAAGTCCCAACCGTTGAAGTCCTCCTGAAAGAAAGCTTCCCCCACTACCCCTACCACAAAACGTTTGAGGAGGCAAAAAATGACCCTTTGGTTATCTTCCACACTTCAGGAACAACTGGTTCCCCAAAGCCGATTACATACACGAATGGCTGGGTGGCAGCGTACATGCAAGCCATGCAAACACTTCCACCAGAAGGAATGGAAATGAAAGACAAATTCATGTGCGGAACCCGCTTCTTCGTAATGATGCCACCCTTTCACGCCGCAAACATCTTTACCGTTTTCTGGATTCCTTTTGCAAACGAGACGACCATCATATATCCACCAAAAGCTCTTCCACCAACAATGGAGGCCTTCATAGAAGGAATCAAAAGCATTCAGGTCGACACAGCCTTTATTCCACCGCACTTCGTCAGCCAGCTGGCTGCCAACGAAGACCTGCTCAAAATCGTATCCGATAACGTGGAAACGCTGTTCACCGCTGGCGGCAAAGCAGTAGATGCCCATGGCGACATCGTAGCTGCGAAAATGGCCGGTCAATACCTAACGACCTACGGCGCTACCGAAACCGGAAATATCCCTGACATGCTGCCAAAAGGTGTCCCGCCATCCACGAACTGGAGCTACATTTCTCCGCATCCAGCTGCGGGCTGGGACTTCCGGCTCCACAAACGAACGGATGCGCACACAGTCTACGAAGCAATCATCGTGCGGAACAAGGATCAGGACATGGAGCAGCCGGTCTTCAAAATGTTCCCAGAGTTAGAAGAGTATTCGACTCGGGATCTCTACCTCCGGCACCCCACACAGCCCGATCTTTGGAAATGGGCTGGCAGAACCGATGACACAATCGTCCTTGCGTCCGGCGCAAATGTGTCGCCTATGGTGATGGAGAGCGGAGTAAGCGAGCATCCAGCCGTTCAAGGGGTCGTGATGGTTGGGAGCGGACATTTGCGCCCAGCGCTTATCCTAGAGCCGAGGAATGCGGACATGGATGGGGAGGAGTTAGTCGGGAGCGTTTGGCCGACTGTTGAAAAGTTGAACAGCACTTATTTCGAAGATCATCAGATTCTGAGATCTCATATCTTGGTGACAGCGGGGAACAGGCCGATGGCGAGGAGTATGAAGGGGAGTATCCAGAGGAGTGTGACGGTGGACCTGTATGAGGCGGATATGGAGGATTTGTGTATGAGGTCTGGGTAGAACGATGGTGCTTTCTGTTGCTGTTATTTCATCTAGTCGTTATTTTTTTCTCATGTTTCACTCTCTCCTGTTTGGTATGGGTTCTTGACCGGGTGAACTTCACTCTGTTCCCTTGTGTAGCTCCTACATATACATTCAACGAGCCTTAATATCATTCGGTTGCTTAGATTCTCCTGGAGTTGGCTCGTAAAGTTGAAATCAAGGGGGCATTGCCCGTTCACCGCCAGAACTCTAGTCGACATGAAATCATATTTTGGTAGTTAGCGTTCTATCTCAGGATTCGGGTTATTACATTTACAGATCACGGATTAACGCTTTCCCTGGTAGCTGTTTATATTTCGCTCAGAGGCACAATGGATCGCAGCTAGAGATGTATACTATCCTCCAAGGCAACCTTTCGGAATCAATCTCCGTCCCAGCTTATCCCTCTACTTCGCATCGCCTGTAACCTCTCCCAATAAGTCCACAAGATGTTCCACCAACTGAACCGGCTGTTCGAGGTGTGGGGAATGGGATGAGCCCTTCAAGATCATCGTCTTCTTAATACCTCCAATCTCGACGAACTTCTGCTGGAGCTCATAAGGGAGTATCCTATCTGCCTCTGTGAAGATGTACCCAAAGGAGCCCTGGAAGTTCGGGTCGTCATATGGGTCATAGTGGACGGGCAAGGAGAAGCAGGAGTATGGCTGCCTGGGGAGTGCATTGGCCAGTCTCTCGGCTTCTTCTTCAGGAAGATCGTGGAAAAGCATGGCTTTTGCTTGCTGCTTTGGAATCACGACCCATCCAGTAGATTCCTATAACGATACGGTCAGAGTACAACTACATGCTCAGTAATTCGACCACGTACATCGTAATCAATCCAATCAGGAAGATTGTTTGGATCCATGCCCATGGCCGACATTGCCGACGTTCCTTTCCGAGCCACAAAGGCGGCCACCCAGAGCAGCGCGATGACTCCCCCCTTCAGCCCATTTCCGGTCCTCTGCTTCTTGCTTAATCCCTCCACTGCGGACGGCCCGTAAATGCCTCCGTATGAGTGCATGAACAGGACGACATCTTTCCCTTCCTCGACAAGTGGCATCAGGACTTTCTCGCGTAGGTGCTTCGCATCGAGGTTCATGGGTGGCATCTTGGCTGGGTCATGTTCGGGATAGCCAGGTGAGATGCTCCAAACTGTAGGATAGCCTTTTGCTTCGAACGCCTGCATGACTGGTTGGAAGAATTCGACTGAAGGCCATCCGCCAGGGCAGATGGCCACGGTAGGTTTGGGATTCATGGTGTGTTCGGACAGTTGCCTCAGAAGCAAGAGTGGGAGACAGATGGTGTGACAGTGACAGTTGTCTTGAGGTGAGGCCGATGTCGACGTTGGGATGTTGCGAATAATGGATGCTGGACGCCTGGAGAGGAAGGGGCCGTGTGACGTTGCGCAGGCCAATCATCTAATATTCTAAAGGCAAGTGAAACACCGGAGCGGCGCAGCAGGTGCGACATAGCAGTACTATGACGCGGTGGGTGTCGCGCAGTGGTACTATCCTAGCGTGCCTAGCAAAGACGATTTTCTTTCAGAATGAATAAACGAGGACGAGCCTAATTATCACCCCCCTAGATTTAGCCTAGCTCCGGTCTGTAACAACTTTGTTCCACCAGTTAGACTATTACTTAGGCTATAATTGTGTTTAATAATAGTTTTTAATTGGGGACTACTAATCGTACACCCCCTAATTCCTAGACGTACACCCCCTTTTCACTCCATGTACACCCCCCCCTCTTGGCGCTTCACCACCTTCTAATTGGCTCGGAGAGCCCGGAGCTTCCTCCGGGCATTCACCCTTACGTCTCTCTACACGTGATGCTATACGCAAGGCCGTACGTGATGCTATGCACGAGGCCGTACGTGAGCTCGTATGTAAGGCCATACGTGATGCTATACACGAGGCCGTACGTGAGCTCGTACGTGAGGCCGTACGTAATGCTATACACAAGGCTGTACGTGATGCTATATATGAGGCTGTACGTGAGCTCGTACGTGAGCTCGTACGTAAGGCTATACATGAGCTCGTACGTGAGCTTGTACGTGAGCTCGTACGTAAGGCTATATAAATTGGCATGATGTAATTGCTTGTGTTGTACATGGCCGCATTTAGAGAGAGCATTCGGAATTAATATGCAAGTTAAGCGAGCGAATCGGAGGCTACGGAGCAGCCCTCCGAGCCAATCAGAAGGTGGTGAAGCGATAGGGGGGGGAGGGGGTGTACGTGTAGTGAAAAGGGGGTGTATGTCTAGGAATTAGGGGGTGTACGATTAGTAGTCCCCTTTTAATTCACCAACATAACACCGGATCTCTCCGCCGGACAAGCAGGCACCCTAACAGCGTACAGTTGTGTCCCCGGAAAATCAACCAACCAATTGTCTAGGTTAGCCATGTGAAACGTAAGAGCGGCGCAGCGAGTGCGAGTCGCACAGCATATCCTCAGGCGGAGAGGGGATCGCGCAGCAGTAGTGTCCCAAGAGAAAAGGTTCTAATTTCGAACTGATGAACGGCTGTACAATTGTATTCCCGAGTAGTGAGGCTGAGAAGTAGGTATAGTTGCGCAAAATACAGCCTGGACGACAGTCGTTCGTAAGCATTCGGTCCGTGCACGAAGGCTCTTCTTCCCTGCTTCCTACTTTAGCTACTTACTACCCATACAGCTTTCTATCATCGGCCCTACGCACTTATTAGCATGCTGCATCAAGTCCTTCTCCCGCTTCGAGAGGGTCCGTGGTAATTTCTCTGCTTCATGGTCGCCAAAGATTGAGCAGGGTCACTGCTGCTTGTGCGTTCATCGTCATCAGAAGACCCAAACAACTCAATCAATTCCATCGCTAGAATGTTACCGTTGTGTGTCAAACTCGGAGTCCGAGAGTGCCAACTCCATATGTACACTGCCATGCTGTATGGTTGCAACATATCCTCCCTTACATGCCGAACGGCTATGCTAGGTAGTGCGGGGGCCGAGTACCGGCTGACAAGCTGATGTTCTTGATATTAGAGCTATGGCACACATCTACTCGACCCTGGTACAAAGGTATGCTGCACTGTAACCCGAGTCAGGCAACTGCTCACCGGCATGGAGCAAGGCAACCTGGCCATCGACACGATCGACCCCAAATTTTGGCGATACTTCGAGCCTAATTCTCCTCAAGGGTGTTGCTGAAAAGAGCCTCTGCTTTTATGTCATAGTTGCTTTTCCCGTAATTCTATACCGTAGCGATCTATCTTTCCTCTCTCAAAAATCAATCAGAATAGTGCTTTCGCATCAACGAGAGGATAGCCCAATGGCCAACTCTGATTTGGTTGAACCTCTTGCAATTATCGGATTATCCTTTCGATTTCCCCAAAATGTGACTACATCAGAAAAGTTCTGGGGATTGATGGATGAGAAGAAATGCACTGCGGGAAAGGTTCCGGAAGATCGATTTAGCGTTGATGCATTCTACCACCCAAGCAACGAAAGAACGGATACACTAAACGCACAAGAAGGGCATTTTATGAATGGAGATGTGGGAGCTTTCGACGCACCTTTCTTCTCCATCAGTCCCGCTGAAGCTGCAGCGATGGATCCGCAGCAGCGAGGTATGCTTGAAACATCTTACCACGCACTTGAAAATGGTATGCGAGTCACCCTCTCTGATCGCTTTGTCTTTCACACTCGCTGACCTTTGTCGACTAGCGGGGCTCCCACTCAAATCAGTGGCCGGGTCCAAAACTGGAGTATACATCGGATGCTTCTCAGACGATCATAGAATCTTGACACTCAAAGACCCAGAGCGGCTATCCAAGTATGCCGGGACTGGAACAGAGATGTCGATCCTCGCGAATCGACTAAGCTGGTGGTTCGATTTCAAGGGTCCTAGTTTCAACATTGATAATGCATGTGCAAGCGGTTTGACTGCATTCCATTTAGCTTGTCAATCACTCAGGAATGGAGAGACGTCAATGGTAAGCGTTTTCCGATTGCATAATACAAACCAAGTACTGAGGCATGTGTAATTCAGGCTCTTGTTGGCGGCAGCAACCTCATGACCTCAATCGAACAATTCCTCCTTCTCTCGAATCTTTCGATGGTCTCGCCTTCAGGCCGTTCATTTAGTTTTGATCATCGTGCCAACGGCTACGCTCGTGGTGAAGGCTACGGTGTCGTCATCATCAAAACACTTTCCGACGCTCTTCACAACGGTGATTGTATCCGCGCAGTCGTGAGAGCAACGGGAGCGAATCAAGACGGAAAAACGCCCAGCCTGACATCACCCAGCCAGACGTCCCAAGAAGCATTGATCCGAGAGACGTATGAGCGTGCCGGCCTAAATATGAAGGCAACGACTTTCGTTGAGGCGCATGGGACTGGGACGGCTATGGGCGATCCGATTGAGGCTCGAGCACTTGGCAGTGTACTTGGGGCCGGAAGGAAAGCGGACGATCCTCTTTACATGTACGGCCTAACTCGCGCACAGCTTTTGGAGTGGTTGCTAATGCAAAGACTACCCTTGTAGTGGCGCGGTCAAGCCAAACATTGGGCATCTAGAGGGCGCCAGTGGGATCGCTGGCATCATTAAAACAATCCTAACTCTTGAGCGAGGTGTTATCTTACCAAACACAAATTTCGAAAAACTCAACCCCGCGATCGATGCCAAAGCGTTGAACATCACCGTGAGTCTAACTTCTTAAACTAGGCCAATCTATATTTGACACTAGTCATAGTTCCCTCGAGAGTCTACGCCATGGCCACACGACGGGTTACGACGGGCGTCCATCAACTCCTTCGGTTTCGGTGGCTCCAATTCGCATACAGTTCTCGATGACGCCTGCAATTTCCTGAAGTCTAGAGCGCTCAAGGGACATCACCAATCCATTGATTTGGATGGAAGAAGCGAGAGCCTTGGGCCGATTTCTTTCCAAACTTTCACTTCCAGATTTTCAGATGCGACTCCCCCAAAGTTGCTCACCTGGTCTGCGTTTGACGACAACGCTCTGTCCCGACTGATACAAGCATTTTCACAATACTTTGCAACCGGCCCACCTGAAGTCCTATCAGCATCCTATCTCGATGATCTTGCTCACACACTATCAGCTCGAAGGACCGTGCTTTCTGTAAGAAGTTTTGCGATCGTCAAGTCGCCCGCCAAGTTACGGGATTTAGCAAGTGCTACCTCAAGGCCGGTCAGAGGGAGACGAGTGCCTGGCTTATCATACGTATTCACAGGCCAAGGCGCACAATTCAGTCGAATGGGTATTGATCTATGCATCTTTCCAACTTTCAGACTGAGTTTGGAGAAATCAAATTTATGCTTTCGTGCGCTGGGCAGCGAGTGGGATTTGCTCGGTAAGCTGAACTACAATGCCTCGTCATAGAAATCCATACACCCCTTCGCCACTGCATGAGGAGCTTCATAGTATTCTCAGTATTCCGAATAAGAGAAAAGTTTGGCCCTTTGGACAGCTAGTAAACTCGCGAGGCCACCTCAGACAACGTCAACAGGGTGCACGCAGCTTGCAGCTTGAAAGTATATTCGCTGTCCTCGGTTTATGTCAGTACGTTGAAGCTCCACAAACAATGGCAGGAAAGTGTGCGGATATCTTTGGCAAGGCACTGTATCTTTGGAACCTCATCGCTACGGCATTCAACTAATAGCAGACAGAGGAGCTGGCGAAGCTAGAGCCGGACTCAAATATCCATGATCCAGAGTACAGTCAACCTATATGTACAGCACTACAGATTGCGCTAGTAGATCTACTGCGAAATTTCGGTATCGTTCCGCAAAAAGTAGTAGGCCATTCTTCGGGCGAGATAGCAGCTGCGTCAGTGCATCACTAATTATCAGCGCTTTTGATTAGCTAACTCTACATAGATACTCAATTGGTGCGCTCTCATTGGCTTCCGCACTAAGAATCTCCTTCTTCAGGGGCAGGGTCTCTGGAAATCTTGCCAGAACCCCGAGTATTCGAGGCGGCATGCTAGCAGTTGGGCTGTCTGAAGCTGAAGCGACCATCTATTTGCACGAGTTTCAGAAGGAATATTCCTCTCAAGAGGCGGTCGTGGCCTGTATCAACAGTCCCAAGAGCGTGACGCTCGCAGGTGATGCGATCGCCATCAGTACACTCCAAAAGCAGCTCGATCAAGATGGTGTTTTCGCGCGGAAGCTCCACGTCAACGTCGCCTATCATTCCCCTCACGTCAAGTTATTCTCTCAAGAATATCGGAAGTCCCTCAACAATCTGGAGGCTGGTGATTCTTACCGAGAGACAGATGCCGTGATGGTCTCATCCGTCACAGGACGGCCAGTGGAACCAAGCGAACTAATAAAAGCTGAGTATTGGATCAGCAATATGGAATCTCCCGTAAGATTCATGGAAGCTGTCAGCCAATCAGTTTTCTCCCCACACGTCTGTGACGGCTTAAGCGGTCAGCGAATTACAAGCGACGTATCCGACTTGCTGGAAATTGGCCCCCATGCTGTTCTCCAAGGGCCCGTCAAGGACACTCTAACGGCACTGAACCAAGCTAAAGCGATCCGGTACGACTCGGTGCTCAACAAAAGGGTCGATAGCGTAGAGTCACTGTTGAATGTTATGGGGCGCTTGCATTGCCTCGGCTACCCCGTTGACCTGATCGCGATCAATGGATTATCGGACAAGCAAAAAGACGAAACCAAAATGCTGACCGATCTTCCGTCATATCCTTTTGATCATTCAAAGGCCTATTGGTATGAGAGTCTACTAGGACGGAACTTCCGTCTCCGAAAAGAAGTTCGCCTAGATCTACTGGGGCTACCAATCGCGGACGGTGGTCCTCCAGAGCTAGGACGGAGGTGGCGTAAGATCACAAGGGTGTCCGAGACACCATGGGTACAAGATCATGTGGTATGTCTCCACAATGATTGCAGTGATGAAGAAGCTAAATGCTGCAGATTAGCGAGACGACTATCTACCCTGCGGCGGGTATGCTCTGTATGGCCCTTGAGGCTATTCAGCAAATGGCTGATCCAGCAAGGAAGATCACGGCGTACACGATCAGAGACGCCGAGTTTCTCGCTGCCCTTCGCTTGTCTCCTGAAAATGAAGGAACGGAATCACATTTCTACGTACGACCATTGAAAGATGCGAGTTATAGCGAAGATCTAACGGCGGAGTTCAAATTGTATACGCTTCTTGAGGATGTGTGGGTTGAAAACTGCCGCGGTACCATTCAGCTTTCATATGGTGAGGATGATTTTGGCTCTGAACCATCTCTGACGGTTCGTAACAATATCGCCACATGCACACAGAGAATCGATCGAAGCAATATTTACAGCGAGTTATTCGCTATAGGAATGCAGTACGGCCCAGCGTTCCAATGCATGGAAAACATTTCCGTGGGGCAAAGTAAGGATGCATTGGCCGTCGTCCGAGCCTTCGAATGGGTGGAGGAGCGACAGGATCATATCATCCATCCCGTCACACTGGATTGCATCTTCCATCCTACGCTAGTTGCGCTTGCGAAGGCCATGGAAGGAAAACCGCGAACGGCTGTCCCGACGAAGCTACAAAACCTAAGGCTTTCCGGGAGAGGAATCTGTCATCCAGTCACTTCAAAAGTCCAAGTATATGCCAAGGTCGAGACACAAACTTCCAGAACTGCCACAGCTTCATTACATGGAGCCGATTTTCAAGGCAATGCTCTGATATCTGTGGAATTGTTGGAGGTTACTTTTGTTGATGACGGCAGCCAGGACGAACTTGGGACGAATCTACAGCATATGTGCTACAACATTGATTGGAAAGCAGACATTGACATGCTTGATCAATTCACTGTAGCAGAGTACTGTCGCTCTCGTCTTGCTTTATCTCATCACCGAGAACCAGATAATCGCGTACGTTCCGCTCTCGAGAGTTTGATGGAACTCATGGCTTTTAAGCGTCCAGGGCTCCGGGTGCTGGAAATCGGTGCAGGAGAAGGATCAACCACAAAAGACGTTCTCAAGAGCACTGTGATACGAACAGCAGAAGGCCATGAAATACCGGCCCTTTCCCTCTATCATTCCACTGATATCGAGCCCGGTCTCTTGAAGGCTACCAAAAATAGATTCAAGGACGAGAGCATCAAGATGGAATTCTCGGTCCTTGACATCAATGAAAATCTAACGGATCAAGGCGTTCAAGAGGGTATGTACGATGTTGTCATCTCCAACAACGTAAGTTATGTCCCTGTCACCTGTTATCTCTACGTCTATTAACTTCCCTTTCTTCAGTTTCAGCTTTCGACCACTAGGATAGCGAATATCAGAAAACTTCTCAAAAAGTATGTCTCCCCTATTAGAGATATATTCCTTAGCTGATATCACAGCGACGGAAAACTGGTGATAATCGGTGTTGCAGAGGTCGACATGTGCAGCCGACTCCTATGCCGAAACGGGTTCTCAGAAACGGGTATATTTCTCCGCGATGACCAACACGCAGCCAAGCAATCGAGCAGTATCGTCATATTTACAGCTGCTGAGAATATCAAACCGGAAACAATCTGGCCTGATACCATTATCGTAGTCAATGAGGAGACTTCGATAGACGCCCAAATCGCGACTACCTTACGCGAAGCACTCCAACACTCCGGATTTCCAATCGTAGGGACAATACCACTTCGTAAGATCTCTACAATCGACTTGCATGACAAGTTCTGCATCTGTCTAGCAGAGTTGTCTAAACCTCTTCTGGCTGACTTGAACGAATCTATGTATTTGGAGCTTCGTTCCTGGCTCTCAAATGCCAGGGGAATTCTCTGGGTACGAGATAACGGCAACGACAACCCAGGCTTCCATATGATCACTGGCGTTGCCCGCGTCAGTCGATCGGAGAATCCTGATGTCAAATTTGTCACGCTTGCGGTCGATATATCGTCTTCAACCACAGTCAGCAACGTTCTTCGTATATTCCGGAAAACGATTACATCTTCGGTAGATGATATTGAACTGGAGTACAAGGAGATAGATGGCTTTTTGGCAATGAACAGGGCCATCCCCGCTACTTACGTTGATGATAATATCCGGAGAAATGGAGATCCAATGGAAATATGCTCTACAGCCCAAGTAACTTCTCGTCTCGAGGCTCTAGGTGCCATATACTGACCTGATTTTAGACCACGATCCGAGCCTTGCCAGCCTACTCATTCCCTGAACACTCCACTTACGTCCTCGCCGGGGGATTTGGCGGTATCGGGCCAACGATCTGTCGCTGGATGGCAAACAGAGGTGCCAAAAACTTCATCGTGTTGTCTCGCTCCGGCCCCAACTCCGACGCAGCTAAGCTGTTGCTGCAAGATCTCTCTGCGCAAGATGTGCGGGTGGAACATCCAACCTGTGATATTTCATGCAAAGAACAAGTCAAAGCAGCATTAGCACTATGCGCTGCAAAACTTCCACCAATCAAGGGATGTATTCAGGCATCCTTAGTCCTCCAGGTACTCCAGCATCCTGAAAAAGCTAGCAAAACCAGTAATGTGCTAATCTCTACAAGGACTCCGTCTTCGAAACAATGACCTACGATGAATGGAAAACCGCCATCAACCCCCGCATACAAGGAACGATTAATCTCCATGAAGACTTGCCAAACAATATGGATTTCTTTCTTCTCCTCTCCTCCATCAACGGTATACTAGGCGCTCGCTTCCAGGCCAACTACGCCGCCTCAAATACGTTCCTCGACGCCTTTGCGCATACGCATTACAAGCAACGAGTCGTTTCGATTGACATGGGCTGGTACACTAACACACTCGCCTCCAACGACTTCCTGAAAAGAAGGTTTGAGGGCCTTGGATGCGTGTACCAAGTGCCGGACTCGCAGCTGTTAGGCTTGCTTGATTATTACTGTGATCCTACGAGAGTGGTTGACATAGGGAAGTGTCAGACAATGCTTGGTGTCGCACCTCCGTCCTACGCAAGAGCGAGGGGCAAAGAATTCCCGGAATTGCTGAAGAGGCCGATATGGAGGGTCATGAATGCCCTGGGTACCTCATTCAATACCCCCAGCCAGACAGAAACGTTGCAACAAAAGGCTCTCCCTATTTCCACACTCCTTGCCTCCACACAATCAGTCGCCGAAGCAGCTGATCTTATCTGCAATGCCGTTTTGGGGAGGTTGGCGGTGCAATTGGGGATTCAAGAGGAAATGATTGATAAAGAAAATCCGTTTCATGTGACGGGGGTTGATTCCCTGATGGCCGTCGAATTAAGGACTTGGTTTAGGAGAGAGATCGGTGTGAATGTTAGCGTTTTTGATATTATGGGAAACAGTAGTTTGTTCGGCCTGTGTGTAAGGGCGGCGGAAAAAATGGAATGTAAGAGGTATTGAAGACGTTATTTGAGGTTGGAAGCAAATTTGCGCTCTAATAGTTGAAAGTGGTTATAATGGTACTATTGTCTAGGAGCCTAGAGAAAAGATTTTTGAAGAAACCTTCTATACTAAGGTGACTGCTATTATCTTAATAGATGTGGCCTAGGATGTTAATGTACTGGTTGCTACTAAGAACTGTAAGCTCCTTGCAATATCTAGGAAGTTAATCATAGGTTAAAGGCATAAAGTTGATAGATAACTATCTCTCTCTTAAGTTATAGCCTAAAATGTTTTGTGGTTGTTGAGATGGCTGGGGTGCTAAAAGGTCCAAATCGCACCAAAATTGGGGGTGGCCACTAGCTAGTGAACTACGTTATAACTAACGTGTTCTACATGCATGTGGTGGTTACAAGCGAGTGGTGGCGCTTAATTTTTGGTGCGATTTGGACGTTTTAACACCCCAGCAACCTCAACAACTATAAAAGATTTGAATCTATAACTTAGAATAAAGATATGCATAGCTGTTTCAATATTATAAGACAAATTTTTAGGGTCTCTTAATGGCCACATTTAGTTATAGTAGAGTTTTGGCCCCCTAGCATTGGGTAAGATCTACGATATAATAGAATTACAGAGACACATCACTCCAAACTATTGCCTAGCCATTGAAATGAGCTAAATACTATATGCATTCATATAATCTTGTTTAATACTTTATGGTTGTTGAGATTGCTGGGGTGTCAAAACGTCCAAATCGCACCAAAAATTAAGCGCCACCACTCGCTTGTAACCACCACATGCATGTAGAACACGTTAGGCACTGTTAGATTAGTAAGCCGATTGCAGAAATATAAGCAGATTGTAAATAATAATTATAAGCGAACTAAGGATATAAAAGAGTAGGATAATAAAAAGTGCAGGCGGCAATTTAAGGTGGCGAGACTTAATTAAGAGAAATCTTTACAAGACTAGGTTCTAACAGTGCTGGCATATATAACATAAGAAGTACTTAACTTAATTGCTAGCTTATATATCCATTTACGTAAGATTTATTACACTATAAAGCGCCAAGATCAGACGGGAAAGGAGCTTGCACGTAGAGTGAAAAGGTGGTGTATAAGTCATGGCCCCTATTTTTAAGCAAAGCAGAGAGATATACAGGACCTAGATGCGTCCGATAAACTATCGCGGAAATCAAGCCACGGAAGTTAGCCGCAAAAGGGGAATAATATAGAAAGGAACGCCCCGCGGTACTGTGCTTTTAGCAGATCCAGCTCAGCCTCGGTAAAAATTAGTCTAGAAAAGGGCTTCCTTTGTTCTGATCCCCCCTATTCCACCTGTGGCTTTATTTCTGCGCGAATTCACTGGACGCATTCAGGTCCTGTATGTATATACAAGATTAAACCCCGTGGGCTGCTGACTTAGGCAACAGGAACTACGATTGGAGTAGGTCTTATGCATTCGGCCCTTGCATCTGGAAATTGTGAAGCAAATCCTCCCAGTGCTGGTCAAACTCCATGGGTGGGAATGCAGAAGGGGACAGCGGATCGAAAGGTTCATTGAAATCAAACGTCGAGGAGAACCCGTCTCCTGCCCACAATGGGTTTAGAGGTTTTCCATAGTCGCCAAGGCTAGTAGCCATATCCTCCATAGAAAGGCTATCTTCTGGGCGTGGTTTGGATAGTGGCGCTTCTGCTTGCACAGACCTTTGAGAGCGGAGTAGCTGGATGAAATGAGGATCGTCCTGCTCAGAATCGGATCGTCCACGTTTGAACGCTTCCCAGGCTTTGAGAGTCAGGTTGCCGATTGCAAATAGAAGAGGCCGTTTCGGCCCGTCGGTGATGAACTCCGGATGGAACTCATAAGTAAGTCCAAGCTGCCTCCAAGCCTCGTGGCCACCGTCTCCGCCTCTACGACTCAATTCTTGGAGGATGTAAATGCACGCCTTCCACTGAAAGTGCGTGTTGACATGCCACGCAAACCCCTTGACACCCTTTTGTGTGTATGCTAGATTTTGATACGAAATGATTCGCAGGCAGTTGCTGAAGAGCATATCCTTTTCCCACTGGGGCATGCTGGCGCCGTCGTCTTCGTATTGATAAGGATTGTGAGCTACAAACCTCATTGTGCAGATGACAGCCTTGCCAAGAAATGCACACATGAAGTGCCATGGAATTGATTCGTCGCAGTGCCTCAAGAACTTTCGCTCAATGAGTTCTTCAAAGTCATCGATGGCTTTGTCTTTCCGCTCGGTCGGAATACTGGTGCCGCTTAGTCGACTCCAGCTTCCGTCAAAGGTGGCCTTGGGTGCGGAGCGCCGGAGGAAGTCTCCCACATGACTTCGAATCAGGAAGAACATCATTTCGGTAGGCCCATCATGCTCCTTTGGGAGTTCCTTCATATCCGGGAATAGATCGCTGTCGTTCAAGTTCGAGGGCATCTTAGTATCGCCGAGGATCATGACAGTGCCTGTCCCAGCAAGCTTTTCAGCGTAGCCGTCTTGTCCAACAATCTGCCACCAGAGTCTCCTCCGCATTTCTGTTTCAAACACCGGCAAACCAAGGGTTTCACCATCGCGGTGAAGGCCAGTCCGTTGTCCAAGCCGACACGCTACGCCGGTCAAGATCCATAACGATTTTGCGTCATAGCCGTTCAAAGACATCTGGCAAATAGGGTTAGCTTACTGGCCGTTTGAGTGAGTCACTGAGGCCTTTCGCAACACTCGAAGCGAAATGGCTACTACATAATGATTCAAGATGGGTGTAATCGAATGAAGCAACGGGTGCCTGAACCATACTCAAAAGAACGGCAGTTCGCTGACAGCAAGGCACTGGCTTACCAAATAAAGTACGAATGCCTGGAGCACTATCATATCACTAGACTTGAGCAAGCCCGCGTTTACGAGAGCCTGGCGTGACGCTGTCCGAAATCTTCTGGCACAAGCAACTTTCGTCTGACCTAATATCGCATCGCACTCGGAATCGCCCAAGGAATTGATAGCGCAACAGTATATTGAGAATAACAAAGCCTCCAGATTTCTCGGCAAAGCTACAAGATTGCCGATTGAATTAAGGAGAAGCTGTTGTACAGTTGGAACGTGAAGGACCTTTACAAGAGGATGAACGTTTTCCAGGTAAACCTGCCAGAGCCTGAAGATCTGTACAGGTGGAGGATGGAGATCGTGAAGAGAGCCGCTGGGACGAGGGAAACCCAAAAGCATGTCGTCCACATCAGGGAAGAACTCGGGCGTGGAGTATTCAGTGCCTTTTGGTTCCTCGTCATCTGAAGAGTCTTGAAGCAAAGCTGCTGGATCTCGAAATTCGCCTTTCAGGCTCGTCCACAGATTGTTCTCTAGATACCTTGACTTGCCCTCTTCGACGACGAACAAGCCTGGATCAGCTCGTGGTGCTTCGGCGTTGCCATCGAACAGAGTATCATCAGCGCTATTCCCAGCTGGAGATCCAGAGTCTCCACCCTGAAGCAGCTGGCTTTCCCCACTAGCTATATCCGCGGGATTGACTCCAAGTCTCCTAAGAGCCGCCTCGTACAACTTTATCCGTGTGGTGATGTCCACTTCCTGCCCTCTTTTCTTCCTTCGACGAGGTGGGGGAGGGGCTCGATATATGCATTGGGCGCGAGCTTTGTTGCAATTGGAACAGCCTCGAGGGTTCTTGTCGCACTTGACTTTGCGTTGCGAACATAGAACGCAGGAAAAGCTCTTCTGAATGGCAGGTATATGGGAATTGGTTGATGGCGACGTCGAAGAGGTCGTGGGTGGAGATGGGAGAGATGCGTCGGGAGTTTCCATATTCGACGGAATTGTCTTGTAGCTGACTTGTTGAGGTTAGCAGGTCAGCTCCCGGAGTAAAACAGCCTTATATATATGTGCAATATTTCCCATATGCGTGTCTGCTGGATTGTCTGCAATATCGGTTTCGGAGGCCTGCTGACGTTTGGGATTTAGGCAGTAGTCTTTAAGGTCTGTCCCTCAGCTGTTGAGCGGGCTCGTGAATATTGTCAAAGGGAAGTCGTCAATTCAAACACCATAACGCAATCATGAGCGAAGTCTTATCGAGGACTGTGGCAGGCATGGACATCCGTGGCTTTGCTGGTGTTGCGGAGTGGATGAAGTCGGCGTCGGAGATGGTGTAGCATCATCCGAGATTCTGCCTCAAGCTTCATGACGTCTCTTACTATTACATGTGCGCGACACAACACAAAGGCAGCTACGGAATCTGTCTGATTAATGATAGCTCAAGTTCGCCTGAAGGGATCACGACTAGGTTCATTCGCAGGATAGTATCTTGCGGTCAGTAGGATGGATGGCAACGTTCAACGGAGACTGATATTCTGTAACCCATGTGATCCTAGCGACGAGATAAATACACAACTAAATAGCAACCAAGGAAAGCGCACCATATGGCCACCCGCTCGCTAGTGCAGCTTGCCATTCAGCTATGCAAACCCAAGTGCGAACAATGAATGCACTTTCCCAGCAATATCCACGCCAAATGAGAGCCGATCGGACCCACCACGAGTATAGGGAGCAACACCATGAGCTACGCAGTGTCATCCAAACTCTGGGATCAAATGCACATGAAATTCCCGGACAGAACGTCAAGTACTGTTTTCTTAAACCGGAACATCTTACTCGGGCTTGGCAGCCTTCATGCGGGAGCGGAACTCGTGAAGGAGCTCCTCCATCTCTTCAGCGACAAAGTCCTCAAGCTCAGCGGAGATCTTTTCAATCTTCTCCTGGAGGCTGGCGGATTCCTCCTTGATTTTGTAGCCACCCTCTTTGATCGTCTTCTTAAACTCGTGCTCAGCCTCAGCAAGGGTCATGCTGGGCTTGTCTTCGCTCTTGCTAACGACATAACCACCCTTACCAACAATTTCGGTGTAGTTGGAGGATCCTCCACCGTTCCATGCAAGAATCTGTGAGTCGATTAGCTATGTTTGAGAACATATGTAAATCATAGGTACTTACATTCTTGGTGTTGCTGGGAACATCGGAGAGCGCTCCCTCGGTGGCAATGGAGATCAAGTTCGCCTTCAGCTTCTTAGGAGTGACGTCGGCAACTGCATAAGCAGAGTCCTTGGCTGGCTGGAGAGAAAGGAGGTAAGCGAGAAGGCCCGCAACGTGGGGCGAGGCCATGGAAGTGCCAGAGATGGTGTTGGTGGCATGATCGCTACCGATCCAGGTAGAGAGAATGTTAAGACCGGGGGCGAAGATATCATTGCACTTTCCGAAGTTGGAGAAGTACGCACGCTCGTCGAGGAGAGTTGAAGCACCAACAGTGACAGCGTTAGCGGCGGCGGCCGGGGAGTAGTTGCAGGAGTCGGCGTTGTCGTTACCAGCGGCGACGGCAAAGTGGATGCCAGCATCAACAGCAGCATTGACAGCCAGGTCGAGAACAGTGGACTTGCCTCCGCCCAAGCTCATGTTGGCGGCGCTACCCTTGAAGCCCTTCTTGCCCTTGCCGCTCTTGGCAGCGTCAACCTTCTTGGAGTGAGCCTCAGCGGCGTATTCGACACCCTTGACAACATCGGACATGGTGCCGGAGCCGTTTGAGCGGAGGACCTTGACGGCGTAGACGTTGGCCTTCTTGGCGACACCGTACTTCTTACCAGCGACAGTGCCGGAGCAGTGAGTGCCGTGGCCATTGCCATCTTCATCAGCGTCACCGGAGGGAATGGTCTTGCCCCAGGTGGCACGACCCTCGAAGTCAACGTGCTTGACGTTGGTTCCGGTGTCAATCACGTAGACATCGACGCCCTCTCCGCCATCACCGGAGTACAGGTACTTGTTCCATGTGCCGAAGCTCAGGCTGTTGCGGTGCGAGATACGCGCAAGGCCCCAGGGAGCGTTCTTCTCGATTTCGTAGTCATCGTCTTTCATGGTGTGGACCTCGGAGTCCCGTTCAATGTACTCAACCTGATAGACACACGAAGCGTTAGCCAAAGTTCACCGTCACGTGTGAGATGCGCGGCCTCGGCGGAGCCAGAGCGGAGATAAGCGCTGGTGCCTCGAGAGCGCCAGTAGGCCGTCACGACTGGTCTTCAGCTTTGGGCGTCGGCGAGACGTCGTAACGGCCGCCATCGCCTTGTTTCTGGGGAGATGATGATGGAAAGTATAGAGGGAACTCACGTCAGGATGCCTCCGGATCTGCTCGATGGTCTCATCGTCGAAGTGGCCAGAGTAACCCAGCAACGAGCCAGCGATGTCGTAGGTGTGCTTCAGGCCCTCGAAGATCTCGCTGGTGATGGGGAACTGCGAGCGCTTCCGCAGCTCGCTACGCTCCTTCTGGCTGGCCAGATGGATGCCTTGCACCCAGTCATGGTGCTCGGCGGCGACGGCGTGCTTCTTCAGCACGACCATGTACGAGTTGGGCACCTCCTTCGCGTTGACGGACGAGAGGATAGGGGCGGCATCCTTGTGGATGGTGCCGATGCTCAGCGGTGAGGCAGAGGCAAGCAGCGGGAGCAGCGAGAGGGCGAAGGACCTCATCGTGGCGGCTATCCACGCTGGGGAGGGCTGCGGACAAAGAAACAAGGGGGCAGCAAATGCAGCGCGGTGAGGAAGCTGTAGTGAGGAGATGGAAGTCTAGCAAAGATGGGGAAGAAAAAGATGGATGAAGTGATGGAGGAGGAGTGAAAGAGCAGGAGGGTGTTGCTGGAGCTTCTTATCTGTCAACGAACGCAGCCACCTCGAGCGAGGTCCGCAGCGACCGGCTAAATCGCGCTAGGCCGCTTCCGGGCCGGGTCCTAGTCATCCACTCAGAACGTCATCTTGGCTGTGATCACGCACCCTGGCACGCGAAGCCGCCAACGAGGCTGGCGAGGTGGCATCTGATCACTGTAAACGGTGCTTCCTGTAGCGTATTCTTGCCTTGTATCATGTACCGCCATCGCTATCGTGCCTCTGGCCTTTGCAAAGCCCCATCGCTGCCTTGAAACCTCAAAACACGGGCTGAGACGTGAGAGACTCGGCCCGTGCGTCGGCAGCCTCGCCGGCCAAATCCGCAATGCTGCCTGCCCGTCGCTTTATTGGAGGCATCGTGGACATAGCACCTGGCGCACTACCTAGAGAGGTTGCAATGAGGTATCGGTGAATTGCAACTGCGACCGACGCTGGCCTCTGCGACTGCAATGCACTCCCGCCGTCAGATGCTCCGAATGCCTCCCGCAGTGTGCGCATCGTCTTATTAGGCCCGCTCTCAGCCACCCCACACGGCGACGCAGCAAACCCAGAGCTGGCGACCGCGACTTCACCCTCCTGATCCTTCCTCTGTCCCCAGCGGCTGGTGTGTCTGCTCCCGCTATCTCCTCGCTCCCAGAGACATGAACGTTTCCTCCCTTCGCCGTACCCTCACTCTCCTCCAGCACCCTCGCGGCGGCGGACGACCTGAACATGGACGGCCAGCGGCGCCGACACAGGTCCTCGACAGCTGCCTCCCGGCACAATCCAATATACAATCAGCTTCTCTCCGAGCTGCATGCTCTCATTGACGACCTCACGAAAGCCGGTGACCTCGTCGAGCCCTCCGCGACCACCCTCCAAACCCAGAGCACCGCGCTTCGCCACATCCGCCAGCTGCTGATAGACTCCCCCGAGAAGACTCAGGCCAGAGACGCCTTCCGCCATGTGAAGGGCTTCTCCGTCCTGATATCCACAATCCGGTCCCTATCCAGCTACTATGATCCCTCGAAGCGATCCCCAGAAGAGCGCGCCGAGCTGCTCGAGGTTATAAAGGCTGCTCTGGACGTGCTCTCCGAAGCGCTCAGCGAGCATCCGGGCAATCGCAGATACTTCGCGAAAAGGGCCGAAGATGGCGGATGGAGTGCCCTCGAGCAGGCACTGGGTAGTACTGGTGTCTTTGGCATGCATCGTGAGAGTCAACCGGATGACGGGGCGCAAGAGCAGCTATTTGGTTATCTGTTTGCCTTTGCTCTAGGAGAAGAGACTATGACGCGCATCTTCCGGAACATTAGCGCTTTTGAAAGCAGCCATGCAGATGCGCCACAGCCACAGCCGCGAGCTCAGGTAGAAAGCGATGCTGTTAGCCGTCCTGCCATCCAGACCGATGGATCCCCTGCGACCTCTGACCCGCAAGTGGACTCACTTCGGAGCCAGATACGGAGTGTGTTCAGCGGCAACGAACTGCTTCAGAACGCAGATATGCTTCCTATAGTTCTAGGCTTCTGGGCCATGCTCGCGGGTGACCACGTCTCCAGCAGCAACGCGTCTCCTTTGTCCATCTCGGTACTCCTGGCCATCCAGGAAATTATAGATATATCCACTCACAACAAGGCTATGGGACACATTACGGGCATTTTGTCCGTGATATTACATTTGTTGTTCGAAAGGAGCTTTCCTAGTCCTATTAGCAGCCTCCTACGAGGTCTTGCCGATAGCTTGATAGGATTTGGCATCAACCAGTTGGAAGACGCATATTACCTCTTCCGACAGTCGTCCGTCTCGGACCTCGCTGCAGAGTTCCTCCTTCAAGGCATGCGGACTTCTCGCGGGCCACCTTTCATACAATTTGACCTCTCTTTACAAGGCTACAGTGCTATTGAGCTTGCAGATCTTGGTCGGCCATTCCCTCCAGCTGCTGCTGGTGGAGGATACACATTCACGGCCTGGATCCGTGTAGACAAATATGACAGCGATTGCCATACCACCATTTTCGGAGCTTATGATACCACCCAGACATGTTTCGTCATGGCTTACCTTGAGAAGGACACTCGTCGATTCATCCTGCAGACTTCCATGCCGACATCTGCAAAGGCATCCCGGCTGCCTAGCATCCGCTTCAAGAACTCAAGTGTCTTGAAGGAGGGTTCATGGTACCATGTCGCCGTGGTTCACCGACGTCCCAGTGCGAAAACGATGGGCATCGGCTCCGCCCATGCTTCCTTATACCTCAACGGCGAGTTTACTGAAGCTATGAAATGCCAGTATCCCGCCAATCCTCCCCTTATAGATGGCAGTACGGAGAGCTTTGCTTCCCTGTCTTCCACCACACAACGACCGGCACCGATCCTTGCTTTCCTTGGGACGCCTCAGGACCTTGCTCCTCGTCTTGGTCTAAATGTCACGTCGTCAAAGATGTCGGTAGCCTCGTTTCACTTATTCTCAGAGCCACTATCGGATGAAATGATTGCTGTTCATCACAAGCTCGGCCCTCGATATTGCGGGAATTACCAAGACCGGCTGGGATCGTTCCAGACCTACCGTGCTTCTGCTGAGCTCCACGTTCAGAATGAGATTCTCCATCCAGGAAAAGAGGAACAGTCGGACATTGTGTCAGCGATCCGAAGCAATGCTGGAGCCATAGTCCCAGAAAACCGTGTCTTGCTAAGCTTCTCGCCAACCTCGGTCATGGACGACGATGACCGCAACAACGTCGATGAGTCGCAGTTGATTCAATCTCTTTCACGCGAGGCGGCGTTGAACCTCCACAGACATACCAGGATGCACGGTACTCCAATTATCATAAATGCCGCGGTCCCGTCTATCAACGACGCTCTCACGCAACAACGTGGGTACGGGCTACTTGCTGGGAAGCCAGTAGTAGTAGTTCCTCAATGCCTTGACGATGCCATGTGGAGGGCTGGCGGCTGCGTTGCAGTTGGCTTAGGGCTTGTCCAGCTAGCACAAACCCCCGACGCTATTTTGCGCGCCGTCAAGATTCTCTTAGAGGCCGTGGAAGGTAATTGGCGCAACTGTGAGGCTATGGAGAGCAAAAATGGTTTTGCTGTACTAGCTGAAGTTCTCCGTCAGAAATTAGGTTACAGCTTTGGGACACGTGCTTTTGGGCACAAGACTACTGAGGTCAACATGACAGCTGAGCAGCGCGAAGCCTTTGTCTCTCGGCTCCTACGAGTCGTTCTACGATTTGTTGGGTACGACGATGCTAATCCGGCCGAGAGCCTCATCATCAACCCTTTAGCTTACAGGGTTCTTATCGTGGATCTTGACATATGGCGAAAGACATCATCTCTAGAAACCCAAAAGCAATACTATTCGCAGTTTGTTGTCTTCGCAAAGGGAAGCAAGCACCACCATTACAATGTGAAACGCTTCATCAGAATAAGTAAGCACTCCATCAACGGTTCTCGTCGAGGCTAACCTTTGCGAAGGGGTTGTGAAACGACTTATGGATGCGTTGAAAGGGGAGTCATTCTCCCGCGAAGTCTTCCCACATTTTCTCGAGGCTTTCAAGATCCTTGTTCAAAGCAACTTGAATGGGGAGAACTCTCGGTACTTGGCACTCTTTGTTACCTACGCACTTCACGATAATCGATCGTTCTCAAAGCGTACACTCAAACCGAGAGCAAGCGCTATGCGATTGCGTAACAAAGTCACCCCTGTATCAATTACCCCTGCATCTACACCCCGCTCTGCAAGTCCAAGCCAAGACTCACAGATGGCGCCCGGCCTTCCACTTGCAGAGCTTGGGCGTCTAGTCCTTGAGATGATCGCAGATTTACTCTGTAACAAGTCTAGCGTCACAGATATCCAACGATTTGCCAAGAACGTCACTAACAAGGTAACAAGAACATTCCTGCCTATTGGCAATTGCTAACCAATTGCAGTGGCTTCTGTATCTCCTTGCAGAGCCCGATTCGCGGGTTGTCGTTTTGGGGACGAAGATACTTGCGCGACTTCTAGTCGTTACCGGCCCGGGCTATGTCAAGAAATTTGCGGAGAAGAGCGGCGGATTTGCGATCCTGAAAAACCGACTCAAAACCTGGTGGAATACCCCTGGAATCTGGACCATATGTTTTGCAATCCTATTTGACCGCGATGTCGCCGCGATCAATTTCGAACGCAAGTTTGATTTGTATAATCTTACTGACATCTTCACTGTCCAAAAGATCGAAGCGCCATATCCAGAGATTATTCCAGTCATCGCTGCCATGCTCGAGACAGGACTCAGAACTATCGTCAAGGAGCAGTCTATCTCGACGCCTTCCAAGCAAACTGAGGGAGCGCTTGGGGGTTCATCATCCCCTAACTCGACGTTCAAGCCGAGAGGTCGAAACCGTACAATGTCTTTAAGCGCAAAACAGGAAACCATAGGTATGATTTATAGACATATCTCAAGTAGATGAAGACCCGCTAAATTTTTCAGATACCCCAAGGTCTCAAACAGAGCGAGTGGCCGATTATGCAGAGGTGTTGGGAGTGGTCGTCCAGTTTCTCTCTGATGTTCATTCTCGGTCGCTGAGTTTCCGCGACTTTGCCATACAATCGAACTACGTCCAAGAACTCCTTTTCGTTCTGTATCCATTAATAGTTACTTCAGACAAAGTCAGCGCTGAGACAGAGCTGCTTTCTAGAGGTTCTGCATTGACATTCGAAGGCCAAGACGTGGTTATCCAGCCCCATTCAAAATCAACGAACCAGCAAGCGCCTATCGTACGTACTACCAGCGTGGAGTCTCCTGCAAGCCCCGAGGCCCAGCGAGCTATCCCTCTCCGCCGTGGCTCTTCTTTCATCCTCATTTCGGCCGATAAATCGAGTGTTACCAGCGGCGTTCCTGCAATCAACCCAATTTTAACTTCTGAAAATGGCTCACCTGTCGTTCAGAGAGTGAGCAATACCGTTATCGAGGGTTTGCTCGAAGTCGTCATAGGTGTTTTCCAGGATCAGCTGTTTCAGCGCAAGGATTTCCCTGGTCTTGGTCTTTTCCTCAAAACTCCGCCCGGCTTCCAGGAACATCAGGCCTATTTCGAATCTTACGTCTTACGACACGCTTTATCGGCCATTTCGACTGACATCCAACTGGACCAAAAGTTGCTGCATGAGCCGAGAGTACTTGTGAACCTTTCTCGCTATGTTACACACATGGCAGAAGCCGTTTTCGAAGGATGGTTTCTCAACGGTGCAGAACCGCTGCTAGATTTTACTGGTAGTCTATTGGAACATCTACAACGCCCAGAAATTGCCAAGATAAAGAGCGTGCGACTCTGTCATCAAGCAGTGAGCATCATTCGCTCTATCTTCCTGCGAGTTGTGCTCTTGCGCCTCTCAGAGAGGGACGAGTCTGATAACGAGAGTAATACGGTGAACTTCATGAAGAAGATGATATATTGGCAAACGATCATACTGTCTGCCGACAACAACGATGCCAATATCATGCGCCTGATCTGTTATCTGCTTTACATGAAGCTGGTCTCTAAGGATCAAGCTGTCAGGGTAGCCGCCGCAGAATTCTGGCGTTTGCTTCTCGTACAAAAGCCTGAAGATACATCAGTAATATTTCGTCACGCCATGACTACCGATCAGAAGCGCCTCTCGAAAGGATTTCTGATGCTCACCGAATTGGACAACGATGCTTTCTTGGCCTGGATAGACGGACATCGGTCAGAGCTCAAGACATTCTTCCTTGGAGCCATGTCGCGGACCTGGACCGACTACGTTGCTGAACAAAACCGAAAGACGGAGGAGACCCTTAAGAATAGGATATCGCGACGTAAAGACAGGCTAAAGCAATGGCAGAACGAAGAAGCGCTCAATGATACTGCCTGGAGCCGCCATGAGGTTCAGACTAATCACTGGAGATCCAACGTTCACGCTTCTGAACGTTTGAAGCACCAGCGCTCGCTACAAGACCAACAAGACAATCTCTCCTTCATTGCTTCTACAATTCTGAAGCTGGAGAGACAGCTACAGGGCCCGTGCGGCTTGCTTGAAGACGTTGGGCAGCACAAGTGGCGATTAGATGAGACCGAAGGCCGTAATCGAATGCGTATGAGAATCATGATCGATGAGGCCTTGCGCCAGGATGAGTATCAACCAAAACGGAAAGACACGGACATGGTCGCCAAGAACAAGCTGAAAGTGGAGACCGACGTCCCCAGGATATCATCTAGGGACGCTGTTGGGATAACTCCATCCGAGCAATCGGCTCCAAGCAAAACTACCCTAGTAGAATCGGGTAGAAAGAGGTCTGATACCGACTCTTCGGGATCAGGCCTTGATGAGGATTTCGAGATGGTCGATGACCCCAAAGAGGATGAAGATGGCTTCGAAGACAAGAACCGTAAAGTCATGCGGAGCCTCCAACGCGGCGATCAAGTCCAGCACGTATGCAATGTTTCCCGTATTGTGGGTCTAGAAGCATGTGAAGGCCTTCTCATCCTTGGCAAGGACTGCCTATATCTCCTCGATGACTTCTTCCAGCGCTCCGACGGAGAGATCGTGAGAGTTTGGCAGGCGCCACAAGACGAGCGGGACGCTTATGTACAGATGACTTCAGGCCGACAAACTTCTACGCGTAGGCCACCCCCAAAAGACCACGAGGAAAGCGCAAGGTACTGGAAGTGGGGCGAAGTCATCAGCATATCTAAACGTCGGTTTCTTTTCCGCGATGCTGCTATTGAGATATTCTTCGACGATGGGCGAAGCTACCTTTTGACTGCCATAACTCCTAGCACGCGCAACGAGCTTTACCTGAAGCTCCTCGCACGAGCCCCACACGTCAACAAGCCAGAGACTTTGGTCCACTCCGAAAATTCTTGGAGGCTAGAGTCGCTACGAAATCCAGAGGAGGCACCACAAACATTTGGCTCCAAATTCGCAAACGTCTTTGGCTCATCTTCCTCTAATCCCGCCACGAAGCGGTGGATGAAAGGGGAAATCTCAAACTTTCACTATCTCATGCTTGTAAATACGCTTGCTGGAAGGACTTTTAACGACCTTACCCAGTATCCGGTATTCCCTTGGGTCCTTGCAGACTACACGAGCGATGAGTTGGATCTAACTGATCCGCGCTCTTTCCGCGACTTCTCCAAGCCGATGGGTGCCCAGTCAGCATCAAGAGAGGCCGACTTTAGGGACAGATACAAGATATTTGAAGACATGGCGGACCCTAATCAACCATCTTTTCACTATGGTACCCATTACTCCTCCGCCATGATTGTCACTCAATACCTCATCCGTTTGCAGCCCTTCGTACAGTCTTACCTCCTACTACAAGGCGGTACCTTTGATCACGCCGACAGATTGTTCTCTGATATCCATAAGACATGGCTTTCGGCGACTAGAGAGAACATGACGGATGTACGAGAGCTAATTCCAGAATTCTTCTACCTTCCGGAATTCTTGACTAACGTCAATGATTACAACTTCGGCATCAAACAAGGGGAAACGGAGCCAATCAACCACGTCAAACTACCACCATGGGCGAAGGGAGATCCACATGTCTTCATCGCAAAGCATCGTGAGGCTCTTGAGAGCCCTTACGTCAGCAAAAATTTGCACCACTGGATCGATCTTGTTTTTGGATTCAAGCAGAAAGGAGAGGCCGCAGTGGAGGCGACGAACGTATTCCACTACCTTTCTTACCACGGCGCTAGGAATCTGGACAACATCGAAGACCCAATGGAACGTCTTGCCACTATTGGTATTATCCACAATTTTGGCCAGACGCCACTTCAGGTCTTTCAGCGTGCTCATGTCCAGCATGAGGAATCCTCTCAGCGCTTTAAGCGCCTGGACAACAGCGCAGAGTCTCTGACCCGGTTACCTGCTACCCTCCTAGGTAAGAAGTTCATCGTCTCCTTTGAGTTGTAGATGCTAAATAAATACAGAATCCAATGAGCGGGTGGCTTCCCTGGTATATAACACAAAATCAGACAAACTCCTCTGTTCTGCCGCATTCCGCCATAACATCCCCCCAGCTTACGACCGCTACATGGAATGGGGCTTCACTGATGGCAGCGTACGGTTTTACTCCAGCGAATCCAAAAAACTCTTGGGCTTATTCGAACATCTACATCAAGGACAATTGACCACCTCTTTGTTCGTAGACGGTAGAACCTTGATCACGGCAGGCGCGGATTGCACTGTCGCGATATGGACAATCGTCTCGGGAGCCAAGAGCATCGATCTACAGCCAGTAATATGCCTTTTTGGCCATAGAAGGCCTGTCACCGCGCTTGCCTCTTCACGCGCCTTCTCCGTTTTTCTCTCCGCAAGCGAAGATGGTAGGGTGTTCTTGTGGGACCTCAATCGTTCCGAATTCATACGGGAGCTTGACATGGGTTTCAATCGGCAGTATCTGAGTGTCCAGTGTGCCCGTATCAACAACATTACGGGTCACATTATACTTTGTTGTGGACCAAGACTATTTTTATTCACACTCAATGGCAGGATGCTACTTCGACAAGATGTCTGCGACACTGAAGATCTTGAAGATGTTATAACGAGCTCTGCATTCTACGAGGGGGTCGGGAACGAGTGGCTAGAAAAGACTCTGCTATTCACTGGGCATCGGAAAGGTGTTGTCAATGTAAGTCGAGAACCTCTCTACCTAATCATGCGCGCATCCGATAAACCTAGCTTGGAAGCCATCAGAAATATTGCTAACTGTAAGATAGATTTGGCAGCTCGCTATTGGTGCCTCGGGCAAATGGACGGTAGACTTAATCAAACGCCTCAACCATGTTGACCCAACGCGAGAAGATGGTGGTAATTGTTCAGCCGCAATTACTTGCATCTTACCTTTGGCTCAGGTGGTCTACACTGGCGACGATGACGGCAGAGTGGTACGCATTCCATCATTCCTCTACGCCAAAAACAAACAACGTATCGTCATTCGAAGATATCAGCTGGCTGTACACGTTATTTATGATCTTGAGCAAAAGCTGACTTTGACGATATGTGTAGTACGAATGGGACTGCGTGCAAAGACACGGTGGCGGACCTGGTTGAAATATGGTGACCACGAGGCTATGAAGTCAAGGAGACGTGTTTTGGAAAGCTGAAAAGTAGGTTGGCGTGTGGCGTCAGGTATTGGGCGGTAGTTGTTGCATTACTTGCTACAGGGCCGGTGCATTGCTTGCTACAAGGTTGGGATAGAACTGTGATATGTCTGCGCCTGCGCCTCGTCTGCGCCCGCACCTCGTTCAATTAGATCTGTTCTACTCTACGACTTTGGCAACCGGGTTCGACGTATGGCAAAGAAGTCTCCAAATTGCATTACCCATGTTGTACCGAGGCGACGACAGCTATATCGAAATTGCTTTCGGTAAGTCGTGCTGCGATTGCTGACGCCAGCACGTGGGCATCTACTTGACTAATCACACAGCCGTCCTAAAAATAGCTTTGAGTATACCGATAGACTGTGCGCAAGCCACAGACCTCATCCCTCAAAAGCGGAATCATGAGCCTACCAGGCTTCTACATCGACAATCCTTTCGAAAGTCATCACAATTGCACCCACCTCAAATATCACACCCAACAGCTAGCCTCCGATTAAGCTTCGCTAGAGTTTTGTCCGGCATGGCTTCGCCCTCCTCCTTCCCTTAGAACTCGTTTCCGACGCACCAGGACGATTCTCAACAACGCTATCCCCAGCAACAACATCACCCACGCCAATCTACTCAAAAGCCATATCCGCCACACTCATCGCAGGACCAGTGGAGCCAGTCGTCTCATTAGCAGGCTGCTGGATTCGTCTCTGCGCGAACACAGTCTTATCCCGCCCCGTCCTTTGACAATTATAGAGTAAACCAACCACAGTCTTGGAGGCCCACACCATATCCAGGCTACCCGCAAAGCACGCAACCGACATACCCAGAAGAACTGCTCTATCCACCCGACCTTCTGTATAAGCCTCACTCATTTCCTCAACCGGGCTCTTTTGAGAATGTCCCTGCTAGCTCATATCGTCCAACAGACGTCTTCAACGTCGTGCCTGCTAGTCAATATGCGGGCAATCCCACTTGTCAATCAAGGCTTGCGTCGCCAGCGCTCAACCCATCGCCATACCCGCCTCATCAATCATACCCACAAAATAATTCACCCTCACCGGCGGTATTAACTCAGCCATCGCCTCGAGGCTCACCGCGACCTTCACCACAAGTTCGACCCGTAAATCTTCCTCGACCACTAACTGCAGCTGAACTGGCAGACTACTTCCACTAACATGCATGTGTTCCGATTCCACGTCAATGGGAGCCGCTTCCTGCTCCCATCGAGACCTGTTACGTCCAAGCAGGACCTAGATTTATCGATAGCAAAGATTGGCTGGGAGATTGGATCGACCAAGAGTTTCACACCGTTTGCCTAAGGGATATAAAAGAGGCCAGAAGTAGACATAGCATGAGATACCACCTAACCGCGGAGACAAACGGAGGTCATTTCCGCCCAAAAAAGTTCAGATGGAAGCTCTCTAGTTCACCGGCAGGAAAGTCTGGCGATGATCTTTGGTCGTACCGCCGCGAGAAAGACATTGGTGCTGCACCTGGACAAGTAAGATTTGAGGCTCTGTATGGCCCTGATGGGAATCCAGTGTCCACGTCTTTCAAACACAATGATGCATCTCAGGGCGTCCCTGTCCATACATTATCGTTCCGGCTCCCGAATGGGGAAGAGTTTCAATGGCAGACCAATCATCCCATTAGTACCCTGGACGGTTTCCGCTGGGACTACCAGCGTTATGCATTGTTCCGGCTGTCTCGCGGTGTAGCATGGGAGTTGGTCGCAGACAACGCGCCTTGGGATGGACGCGGAAAAAAGCCGCTGGAGTCAGCGGACGCCTTGGCCATCCGCGCCCGCAACATCGATCACAGTATGGTCAGTGCGACTCTCTATGAAGGTGCGACAGTGGGAAGATGGATTGCGAGTTGAAGCACTACACGATAAGGAAGGGCTGAAGAAGACAGTCAAGCAGGCCCGAAAGACGGAAATTGGCAAGCTAGCATATTAGACCAAGGATGACTTTACTGGGGAGGCAGCGGGGGTCGGTTTCGAGCTTGGAAGCGGAATCGTAAGTGGACTGTTTGGCACGTAACGCGAGGTTGTCTTTCTTCTTTGTTTAACGGATTGCAAGACATCCTTCTTTAGCGGCCGCGTTGCAAGCCACCGACCGATGGGGGTCTTGCTCAACCCATACGATTCAATACCTTCTCGTCAACTTTGTTATCCAAAGCCCGAATTCTCACAAACATGCGTACGCCGCCGCATTATGCGCTCGTGTTTAATACTGTCTCTTAGTTCCCAGTCACGTGGTTAAATTCAGAGGTTCCAGCCAATAGGATCATTTCTCGCTCGTCGATATTCGGAATGCTATGTGGTAGCTATCTGCACGCCAAAGACCGATCTTAGCAGAGACTACACCCGCCTACGTACTGCAGAGGTTTCCAACATCTTGTGGCCCTCAGGGTATTTCGTGCACTGTGGAACCTGAGCTTCAGTCCCAGACCATCTTCCAGTAGCCTAACCTCACAATGCTTCAAGAGCTATTCTGAGTCTCAACTCCGAGGCATTTACGGGGTTCAAGTCTCAAGAGAGGCATGATTCCTCGCAAGTCCCCCTCGGGTCTATCGTATGTGTGAAGCACCATTCGACGTCCTGAATACAACCCAAACACATGAGACAAGGCCAACGGGAAAGGCATGCAGCAGGGCAGCAATCTGAGGATCAACGAACGAAGCAAACCCCCCACCGGGGCGATGTGGCATGAGCGACAATCTGATAGCTGGAAGCTGTTCCGGACGTCATCGTCGAACTCGCCAAGCGTGGACATAGCTGCGGCATTATCAGCTTCGGATGATAGCAAGTGAACATCTACGTGCCATTGCTACGGTCTCAAAATTTCTAGCGAATCAGATTCACATTCCGTACAATGCCTGCCTATCACTCGTCATGTTTTGGTTGATCAACTTACTTTCCAAGCAATTGCGTGTCAGGCGCCCTAGCGGCCCGCGGTTCAGGCTGCCCGACCGGCCCGCAATTCAGCTCAACGGCCGTAAGCCGATACGTCGTATAGTGAGACACTATAGTGCGTTACAAATGCTCCCAGGGGAACGTGATTGCTCCGCATATAAGGAAAGTTGGAGGGGGCAGACGGACCCGATAAGGTTAGGCTAAGCGCTGTGACTTTCAACGCGCATCCTTACCGGTCGGCGACAGGTGGCATGGCCCGAGGTCCCTACATTGGTCAGGTTATACTCTTCTGCCGGAAATTACTGTCGTCCTATGTGGTAGATACTGTTTCAGGAACATGCCGTAGTTGTCTGAGACAATACGCACATGCATCACTGTCACAGCGCATCGTAGTGCCACATGCGAACATCACAAATGGAAAGTAAAGCCGAAAAAATCGGTTTGAATGTATTTGAACATGTTGATAGTAAAGAGCTGTCCAAAGCTACCGGGTATCTAGAAGAAGTGATATACATACAAACGTTTTCGTTCCATGGGCCTGCCAGGGGGTGCATGGAGCCTGCCAGGGATGCCATGTGTTCTAGATCGACTAAAAGCAGCATAAGACGCCGGAAACAAGATTCACTAAGCATTCGCTCTAACCTCTTGACCAGCAGCTGCCAAAGCGCTTCCTCTTCGATCGCTGCTGGTAGCCTGCATGGTTGTGCGCCTCCTTGTCCGTATTTCCAAAAAGTGTCCAACGACGCTTTCGACCTGCTCCTCAAACCCAATGTGCTTGAATCCAAAAGTCCTTTCCGTCAGACTCGAATCAAATTTTATTTCGATGTTCGTGGCCGATCCACAGTTCGGTAGCCTCCGCTTCGCAACAGCCTCTGGGAAGGATCGCTTAATGATGTCTTTGGCATCGTTCCACCGCGTTTGCTGACTGAGGATGTAGCTCCGATTGCCTGGAATGTGGGGAAGCAGAGACTGAACGTGTACTCGTGCGACGTCGTCGTTATGGACCGTGGCACCGGCAAAACTTCCGAAGTCTTTACCGAGAGCTATTCCCAGAACAACAGCGTTTGTGCCTTTCATCGCTTCGCGTGGTGTTGTTGCAAGATCGTTGCGGCCTTCAATGAAGGCTGGGTGGAGGTGGATAACGTCGAACGAGGGCCTTTCCCTCTTGATCCAGGCTTCAGCCTCTTGTAGGGCAGCGACCTTGGAAGCAGCGTAGGCAGCGAATTCGGTTTCGTAGGGTCCAGACTCGAACACCACGCGGTCCGTTGGTAGAACTGGCGTGCTTCGTCGCTCGTAGCCTTCCATCTGAGCAACTGGAGTGATAGCCACGATAGAGCTTGTGATCACTACTCGCCGCACGGTCTGACTCTTCTTCGCTGCCTCCAACATGCTCAACGTTCCGAGGACGGCAGGTTGGATGAAGTGCGAGTCGTGCTCGTTCAGTGGAATCTCGTCGCCACCGGTCATCAGCGGCGACGCAATGTGTATGACATATTTGACGCCCCGAGTAGCCTCGTCGTAGGCGTATGGGTAGGTGATTTCGGGGACGATGACGAAGCTCAGGCGAGAGCCCAAGTTGAGAGCCTGGATCTGAGGGTGTGAGATGATGGTGTTGGCTTTGGCCTGTGACCGGACGGCGGCGCGGACGGTGTAGCCTGCATTCAGGGCGTGGATGAGGGTTCGGAAGCCAACGTGGCCAGTGGCACCGGTAATGAGCAAATTGCAACTCGATTCACGTCCCATGGCGAAGGATCTAGGAGACCTCCAGAAGATATACACAGACTTGGGAGCAAGATGGAAAAAAGCGGGGTAGCCGAGCACAAGCGAGGAGAGTAGCCGTGAGGGCCTGAAGTATGGGACCGAGAGATGATTCTTGTGAGAAGGAAGAGCGACTACACAGCAGGACGTGGGTTTATAGCAGAGGGGGGTGGAGGGGCTGGATGGAGAACGCGGGCTGCTATATATCGACCCCCCTCAAAGCTGGAAGGGCCTTTCAAGAGGCGTCGTTAGACACAGTGGCATCAGCAGGGAATGAGATTTGATTGCAGGGGGGGGAGAAGTTTGGCCCCTCCTGGGCGCTGGCTGTCGAACTTCCTCGTGCGTGGGACGGTGAAGCGCGGAGACCGGGGCATATCAGGCGCCCCAGAGGGCGGCACGCGTGCAGATTGGCGTTTGCGCCGTCGAATCAAACAAAACTTCCACGGCGTCCCCGGGCTGGACGGGCACAGGTGTCCAATCGTGGCAGCATCTAAAGCATCCAGACGGCCATTTGGGTTAGGGCCAGACGCGGGTCTCAGCTCTGTCAACCCTGCTGTAGTTGCCAGGTGGGCCGGCCAGCGCCGTGCCATCTGCCGGCTGCGAGCGGGGAAGAGTCTGTCTGCTAACTGATGCGGTTTGGCGCCATGTCTTAAGCGGGTTTACGCGGCCAGTCCGCGTGTCGGGTCTGCGATGGCGTCGACACCAGTTTCCTCGCCTTGGGGTTCCAGAAGCGACCGCGCGAACTAGCTCCAAAGTCTCGCCAGACTTGCTTTCGGGGCCATCGCCTATTCGTAGCGTAACGAGGCGCTGGGTCTGGCGAGACGCCTCGCAGCTAAAGCAGAGTGCTGAGGCGATCTAGAGCCACGCCCCAGTGCCCAGAGGCATAAACGGCCTGCAGACGTCGCGGCGGAAATGAGGACACCTGAATAATGCATTGTAGAATCGATACACAGTCGATAGCTCATCGACTCCGTGGGCCTTGGCGGCCGCGTTGCTGAGTCGGGATCGAGGTCATGCTCGACGGCTGATGTGGTTTGGGACTAACGTTGACTGGGACTTTGCTGGTAGGTACTGCCGAGTGGCATGTACGACACCACGTGCTGGAGCAGGTGATGTCGTTCGAGTGGAGTTCATGAAACACTGGTGGATACCTCTATGACGTACAGCCAAGCGGTATGTCGGATGCACGTGCTAGAGCAAGACGCGCTGGATCAGGTGTGCTGGAGCAGGTGATGTTGCCCAGGTGTTGATGTCGAGTCTGCTGGGTCAGGTGTGCACAGCCGCAGCCCGAGGGCGACATCTCGGTTCAGCCGGAGCCAGTAGACGCCATCGTCTGCACCATCGCCTCTCCAAGGGTCGGTCAACCCCGTGCGCAGCGGCGTCTGCCCAGTACGCTGGCTGGGAAACGCGCCGCCACAATGCTGAGCCCGCCGGCGGTTCCTCAGCAGGCGAAAGCCTCGCCTAACGCCGCTCGGCCATAGCCTCCAAGTGCTGCAATGCAATGTAGGACTGGCTGACAACAGGAACATCCGACTTGAAATGTGTGAGTCCGGAATAGTCCTTTCTTTGGTCAGCAATCTCGGATTAAGGTTGGATCTGGGAGGTGGATTTAGCGGTAAGAGCACCGCCACAGAGCCATCCCGGCGGGAGATCTCCACGCGCCTCTCCACTTTTCGCCTCCAGCCCAGATGACCAGACCCTCGCGCCGGGACACGCATGAATCATCAGGTGGCGCCTTGCTCCGCGTGCTGATACCTTTGTATGCATATCGTGCTCTCAACATCCTCACAAATAGCATTTCGAGCTACTGCGCCTTGTAAGCTTGCTTGCAAGACGAGTTCTTCGGGTTTGGCATCCGAAGTCGCCACTGCACCGCGGAACCCAGGTGACGCGACGCTTCGACGTCATCGCTCCAAACTCTACTTCTTTACCTCGACCAAGCCCCAAGTGAAACGTCGTTGCATGCGCAACGGCTGCGATCTGCTATAGTCCGCAGCACTCAGCCGATCGCTTCGGATCCTGACGACATATTCCGTAGGTGCACTTACAAAACTCTACCGGTAGAAAGCCTGCTCCTCGTAGCACAATACGAACCATTGTATCTTCTACCTAGCTCTCTTGTTCTACCAAATACCCATCTGCTTCGTGATACCCTTGCTTTCTTTCTCCATTGCTTCCGTCTCTCCCATTTTCAGCATGAACGACCAACCACCTATTGGGGGCTACTACGCGCCGCAGACATCATCCGCTCCTCCCAACTCTGCGCTGGAGTCAGATTATCCTGCTCCTCTATCTGTAAAGCCCAAAAGCTATCCGCCGCATTCCGAGGCACCTCCAGCCCCATTGAGCATGGAGGGACCTCCATCTTCTGAGCCGTTCAATCAAGCCCCTGCTTTTGGCCAGCCAGCCCAAAATAACGATGGCGCATCAACAGTAGCACAATCTCAGCACTACGAGGCGTACCATCCTCCTAATGACGACCTTTCCCCGCCCTTCTCGGAGCAACCGGGCCCTGAATTACACCAGCCGATTATGAATCCTGCGTATCCCCCCGAAAAGCCCCAAGGCGCAGCGGACACTGCAATGGTGCCATCAAATGCCCCCCAACCACTTGGCGTACAGCAGTACCAACCGCCATTGCCTCCACGCCGCATACCATCAAGCTTCGGAGCCGATGACCCATCCAACCCCGTGCACTACACCCGCGACCCACACAAGCTCGTCGCATATCTAGTCCCCTTCCCGAAACCACGAGTCCACGTGCCCGGCGCTACCCTATCTCAGGTCCCTGAACGGTTTCTGATCTACACGCCTCCGCCGCCGCCGCTTCAGAAGCCAGCTGAAGGCGTCAAAGAAGACCGCATGCACAAGGTGCAGCGGAAATGGGAAGAAGAAGTCCGCGCAGCCAAGAACAGCACCGCCAAAACAGCAAGCTGGCAGGGTGCCAAAAGCAAAGCCACTAAAGGCATTAGCTGGGCGATGTCGCAGACGAAGTCGGCGAACCTCGAGTTTCTGACTCGGCTGGGTGAGGATCGGAAAAGCGGACCGGCTCGAACCGATACCAATGCAGCAGAAGGCGGCGTGGAAGGAGATGCTACGCATAAGACTGTCGCACTGGAAGAGATGGTCCTCATATATCCCTCCACCATGCCCGGCACGCAGGAGGAGCTTCGTGCCGAATTTGTTAACTCGATGATGCGCTCCAAATCGAAAGCGCAGCGAGATGCGGTCATAGCAACTGGTCTGATCCCCGTCTCATTTGCCATTGATGTCCTCGCTACTATCGTATGGCCGTTCGGTGGGTTGCTGGAGATCGATAGCGTGTGGGCGTATTCGTCTATCCGAGGGGCGAAGACGGCTCGTTCGACAACGAAGCGTCTCAAATCATCCAACGAGGATAGTGGCGGGAATGAGCAACAGCTACGGCTAACATTCACACCATCCCCAAGGCTCGAGATCTTAGGTCAGTACCTGGCAGCTCGTTGTCATGAACGTGATGCCAAGCTGTTTGGCTCCCCGGGCGTTCCCCCGACAGAGACGACTGTATTGGAGGCGATCGGGTGGTCGCAGTCTGGGCATTTCAAGAACTGGGAAGACGAGCAGTGGGAGATTGCTGAGGTGAAGGAAGATATTAAGTCGGTCATGAGCAAGGGAGCCCGAGAATGGGATAAGTGGTGTAAGGACTTTGAGAAGAATCCAGAGAAGGCGGCCAAGAAGTAGAATCGCTAGAGATCACTTAGTATGATTTCGGGGTTATATATTCCTAGCTTGTCGTTCAGAAATGACTTCTTATGATTTGTCTATGTCCGTAGCCGTCCGTATTACGGACTCACAGCAGTGTCTTATTCTACCGCCTCTATGCCACCAACTTCCATCTATGCCTGCACGCCAAACTACAACGGTGAACTCTTCTCGCCCGGCACAATCAGCACACTCTTCAACCTCTCAATATCCTCATCCCCCAACCCACAAACCTGCCTGATATACCCCTCCGAGCTGCCCCACTCCCGATCAATCATATCCAGCACCGCAATCATACTCTCCTTCGTCGCCCCCATCATGCGCAGCGCCGCCTCCCTCCCCTTCCTCACAACATCCGGCGGCAACTCAACCTCACCTGGGTCTGCACCCTCATTCTGCTTCGCCAACGCCGCTGCCAGCTCGTCCCTCGACATCGTATCGCCCGCCATCTGCGCGAGCGTGTACTTCTTAAAGCCGTAGCTGGAGGTGAGTCGCGTGACGAGCTTTTCCTGAAGGGACAGGAGGCCGAGCTCTGTCAGATTGTACTCGGCGGCGATGACGTCCCTGGGCACGCCGAGGAGGTCGAGGACGAGGCCAAAGAAGACGCCGGTGCGGTCTTTGCCGGCTGTGCAGTGGATGAGTGCGCCTAAGGGTTCTGATTTGATAGCTATGGGAGGGATGGGGGCGCTTGGGGAGTTGGAGAGGAAAAGAGAGTTTCGGCGGGCTGAGGGTGGCGGGAGGGATGCTAGGTAGAGAAAGATCTTGCGGTAGGATGGTCCGCCGTTGATTAGGATGTCTCGATAGGCTTGGGCGAACCCCTGGGTTTTGTTTAGCTGCTAGCGGATGCGCGATTGACGGATAGAAATAGAGCTGTCTATGTTCCCGCAACTCCCCTCCTTCAGTAGCGCTCCGAAAAATCCAACTCAAATATGCCGCGAAGAATGAAATGCTATCACTAACCTCAACGCTCTCGCCCATATACTTCATATATCTCTCCGCCAGCCGTTCCGGGCTGTAATCGTCATCCGCAAAGACAGGGACCCACACTCTCTCCAAACCCTCCGCCTCTAGCATCTTAATCCACCCATCTCTTACCCCCATTCCGTCCTTTGGCAAGCCGTCCTCCCCAACTTCCACTATCTCCTCCTCCTTCCCATCTTTGCCCGCCACAACGCCCTTCCAGCCCTTCAAGACCTCCGGCTTCGACCGGAGATCGAAGATTGTTTTGACCCCAGCTTCTCTAACAGCGGCCCACCCGGCCTGATCCAGTTGCGACACTTCCGCAGAGCGAAACAGTATTCCGGGTCGCACTTTTCGGCCCGTCGAGGTCACGAGGCCGCCATTGTAGAGTGCTGCGTCGCGGAAGTTGTTGAGATGGGGTACGGGAAAGAACGGGGGGACTGGAAGCTTGAATTCATTTGGTGCTGCCATGGCTACACGGAAGTTTGGAGTTTTGAGGCAGACGTAATATTGGACGATATGTGGAGAATGACAGTGCTTGAATGGTTACCCTTCGATTTGCTAGACTTGCTGTGAGTTGTAAAGCAATGCCCTTTCGGAGGCTTCGTGAAGGCAGTAGGAGGACTAGTGTTCAAGTCCGATGAGGTTGCTGACCCAGAGCACGGGGTTATGAGACCCTCACAAACGTAACGGTGACAACACTGGAGCCTCCAGTCGCCGAGGTTCCGGTTTCCGGACGGCCCTATCATTGGTGTTGTCATCCAGTGAAAGCTGTGATAGACCCCACAAGTGCCCCGCCAATTCCCCCTAGTCATTGCCGAGGGACCCTGGACGTTTCATGACTCTAGCCGCAAGCATTCCATCTTGCATCCCTCCACTCGCGACCTGTTGTTGCAGAACGTGCTACTTTGTCTGTCAAGCATGTTGATAGTTCGAAAGAGGCGAAGTTGTGATGAAAAGACCTACATTATTAGGTCAAAATTCTAGGCGCAAACGGATCTATCACTCCTTGACTCCAATATTGCTCACTCGACACTGTGAGGAGCAGCTCAGCTATTCAGCAGCCAGTTAGTCAAGAAACAGTCTAATTTGCACTACTGGAAAACTGACATTGTGCCTAAGTTTTTGAAATTCCATGGGGGTACCCCAAGCAGTGGTAAACGCGTGTGCATAATCTTACGATCTGTCACTGTATGTGAATTGCTACCTACCATTTTAGAAACACTTCTCAAGAAGCTTTACCGCCCAAGGATAGTCATATACATAGTACAATTATATTTTGAAGGGTCTTCCACGCTTACACATCAGGCCCTTTTTTTTAAAAAAAAACCCCCAAAAAATAACCAGTAGAACTCCATCTTTTTCGCATCTCCTCCGAACACATTACCATTGATAAACCATACTCGTAGGAGATACCGAGAGAAGCTGTGCTTTTGCATGCGGCCTGGCAATGCACCGCGCCCCCAAAAAAAGAGAACCTCCAGACATAGGGAACCTTCGCTTGGACCAAAATAGAATATGGAAAGAAGCTAGTGATTAGGCTTTCGACTGGAGACGTCGACTCTTTTGTTTCATGATTATAAGAGTCGTACGTCATGGCCGTCTAGGCCCACCGTTTAGATCTGATGACAAACCTTTCGGTGTTATTGCTCTACCCGCTGGAGACTATTCTCTAGATCCACGGCACTAAAATCTCGTAGATCCGTAGAAGCCTTTGGCTCTTTTGATATGCAATTCTCAGGCCGTTTTGGAGTCTCGTGAGTAGATTCTGGTGAATCAGTTTCGTGCTCGTTAATTTGAAGTTTCGTATCTCCGGCCTCCGGTCGCTTCGTTTCAATAGGATTGGATCCGTCGGCCACGTATTCATCATACGTCTTGCCCGCCTTCTTGGCCAAGCGCCGAATGCGACGGGTTCGGTAGAGCCAGGAAAGCTGAGAAACGAAGATACCGAGTTCTAAGAGGAGGCTGGTTGCAGTCGGTCAGGGACATTCTGATCGGATTGTCGCGCATGTCTGGCAATCCTGCTTATATCACAGAAAGAAACTTACCAAATGATATAAAGCGTACCACCGAGATAATCAAAGGTATTTTGTGCAACTTGTACCCGAGTCAGCACTCAATTCCGCCGCACATCATGTATGACGGACTTACCGAGAGCCATCAATGAGAAGAAGGCCCCTGACCAGTCTACGGTAAGGAAGATGAAATCTACACAAGTTGTCAGCATGACACGAGACCGTAGCTAACCACGACATGAATCTAGAATCATACCAATGCCAATCACCCGGCCTTTCCTCTTCGCTAATTCGAAGTAAGGCGGAATGAGACCTAGGGCAAGGATTATAGAGGCGATAATAGCCATCAAGGTGAGAGGCCAGGCAACGCCTCTTGCATATGGACCCTGTTCGTTGTTAGAGAGGTGACAGGATTCCGATGTCGAAGGGATCGGGGACAGTACTCTAAGAACACAAATGAAAAGGGCCTCGAGGCCACCAAAGATAATAGCAAGCACTCCCACTGTCAACGTGGTGGTCCATACTCTCCAACCGCTTCCTGGCCGTTAGCCGCTGTAACATTTCATTTTTCACTACGCCGTTACGAACCTATGATAGACCAAGGTCTGGCCCCAGCAAACAAGCGAGAGGAAGCCAAAGCACTGAGGTTGAATCTGAAGTGGGATATTGAAGTTCTGAGGGGTGTCAGACGCATGAAGATAATCGTGGGAGAACTTTATTGACCTGCACGATGGCATAAACACCGAACGGCACCGAAGCTTTGCGAATATTAGCCCCAGCGTAGTAGAGGTCATCGCATGGGACGTACCAGAAGCCCACATCATTACCATCAAGCCGGGAAGGCCATCAGTTTTCTTTGTGCGCCAGTTACGCCATATCCTGCACGAATGAGAGTCTGTAATCAAAACCGAAGACCGTACGTCACTTACTGAGGTACAAGCTAATGATGTCAATTAGTATAATGCTCGAACTTAACGATTGTTTCGAGGTATATCTCACCTGAATACACCAGCAGCTGACCGAGCAACATTAGAGCACGTTCAATTAGGTAGATGAAGGGGCAAATACACTGAGAAGCGGTCAGTGCTAACTCGGGCTCTACTGAAGGGTGAGCCTGCGTACCAGTTCCAATTGTCTAAAGGATCGGAGATGGGTTATTAGATATTCATCTTTTCAATACTCGGCTGACATTTCAGAGTCACACATACCCCAAGCACATTTGCAGCCTGTCATAGTGTATGTCAGTAATGAAGCACATTGAATGGTCAGGTATCACGTACAAGCGGGATTGAAGTTTGAGGACCCGCCATCCAATAGCTAAGGTGTTCAGACCAGCAGGAATGCTAGAAGAAGAGACGGATAAGAGAGCTGGAGATGGGAGAGCAACGATATGAAACGAGGAACTTAGGAGATCTGAGAAGCTCAACGAAACATGAGGGCGAGGTGAGGTTGATACAAAGGCCAGGGCACACGACCTTGCCAATAAAGAGAAGGCCGGACTGAAAAGTGGGTACTTTCTCAGCAATTCGGGCCACGGTGGACACAAAGCATCGCGTCAATCCAAAGACGAGACTCTCAGCCGGCATCGCTGCACGTTGATGACGGTGGCAGCTGGCGCTCAGGAGTCACCAGCGCAGCATCCACAGAAGATGTGCACGCCGTCGATGCAAATTAGGCTTTGGGGCCGGCATCTGGCGTGAGTTTGCAGCGTGGCCTTACGGATTTTGGACTGATGTGTGATCAGGGCGGGCTGGCAGCGCCCTCGTCCGGTGTGGCATTTTTGAATGGAAGCGCCGCCGCCGCGTGGTAAAGCGCAGGTCCCGAGACGGCGCGAGATATTGAGGTTTTAGCATCAGGTAGCGGCGGGGGGGAATGTCCCCTGCATCCGCAGTATCGTGGTGGTGAAGGTGGTTGGAGTGGGCCATCACCGGCGTCGGTGTCACGTCGATGTCCTCGCCGATGATTGGCTGCGCGCACCTCCAAGTTCCCAAAGTTGCGCTGATGGCAGACAGGGGTTGGCAGAGTCCGTTCAAGCCGCCTCGTAGCTTGGCGTGACTTCAAGAGCACCGCGTCTGTCGTGCCACCCACAGTGCGTGCTGCGCTGCGCTGCCGTGGCTCGACTTGACCGCAGAGAATGCTGCCAGAACGCTGCGAGAATGATGCTGTGGAGTGTTTCAAGCCGAGACGGAGGGTAGCTGGAGAGTCAGCTGTCCCCACTCTCGTCGACTGTCGCACTCCAATCGCTGCCGCCTGCTCGCCTGCCCACAAGCGCCATCGAGTAGTACCTCTGGGCGTGGATACAGTTCCTTTACGACCTCCAGCTCCTCCAGCTAGGTGCGGATGCGGCACGATAGAGGGCGCCACGGCCAGCGCTAGGTACTGAATTGTCCTCGTCTGTGAACTGCCCGCATGCTCTGTAAATCAGCTGATTGGCAATCGTGGGGACGTCTCGATTGCTCTCCTGGCCGGCCCATTGGAGCAGCGAGAGGCGTCGAGCGTGAGACAAGACGGCCTGGATGTGGCAAAACGGCAGAGAAGGAGTGCTCGATCCAGTCATCCCGAAGCCAGGCGGCACGTCAACGAGGCCATGTGAGCGGGGACGCTGGAGCAGGCCCCGTACACGAGCGGCTGGACCGATTGATGGGCGTTCTCCACTTTCCCCTCTGGACGGCCGAGCCTCCCAGGCCGTCAGCCCACAGCGGCTGATGCGCTTCTTGCAGCTTGCCCTGGCAACAAATGCGGAGATCCAGTCGGAGAGATGCTGCAGCATGTACAGTAGCGCTCTCCATTGTCGCCCAGGCAGCCGAGATAACGGACGTCGAAGTGCCCAATTGGCCGCCGGTGCTAATCGGCTCTGGCCGCCAGAGGGAGCAAACATTCTGATGCAGCAGGTCGACTCTATTTACTGAAAGCGTCCCGCTCTGGAGCGTTATTCCCATCCGTGCATTGCATCATGCAGCCCGCCAGCACCGGAGCTCGTGCATTGGCAGGGAGACGCGCCTGTGCCCAGCCAGCGGTACGTCATCCATCACGGCTGTCCTCCAGGGGCCAAGCGTCGGTGGTGGTGAGAGTGTGGTGCGAAAAGAAGCATCGCCACTGCTACGCGAGCCGCGAAAACCGCCCTCCTCTCAGGCCTCCTTGCTCTGCTACATCTGTTGGGACTCGGGGATGAGCAGAAACAGGCCTTTGGGACTCGACAGCCAACCACCATGCGAGCACCACCCCAGATCGACGAACGCTTGTTCACCATCGACCTGCATGCCCTAGCTCCAATCACGACGCATATGTACAGTTGGAGCCGCTCGCTCTAGAGCCATTGTGGAGAAGTCGCGTCGCGGATGCTCTCCCGTATACCACTTCCCACAATGCTGCAGCAGGCGTGCAGTGGTTTGAATCCTTTCCGCTGCCCGCGAGGCAATAGTGTCCTGCACTCCTATGTACTCCATCTCGTGTTCTCTGGGGTCAGGGAGGCATCCGCGGAGTGGCCCGCTGAGATTCAGAACAAGATATAGGAGTATGAGTACGCATGCCCATCAGATCCCGCTCCCTGCATGTATCTGAACCTCTGGCGCCTTCGGCGGTTGCGAGAAAACAATCTGCTTGTGCCGTGAGCAAGATGCACATCGTACGAGAACGAACATGGCTATGCTGCTGTTCAGTGTGACATCAGAATAGATCCCGTACGCCAGTCCTATTCCAAATCTGGATGCAGCAGTTGTAGGTTTGCTGTCTTCCTGACTGTCAGATAGCATCAGATTCAAGCCAACGCAACGGCCCGCCCCCCCCTTTGACGCCCAACGGACCGCCCTGCATCGAGCAACCCTACTCTTTGTGTAACAGAGGTCAACTGGCTGCGTGTGGCTGCCGTTCAGCATCCGCCTGCAAGCCTATCTGCCAACAGCATGGCTCTGGGACAGCCACATCGACGCCCCGGACAATGCATGCCCAATGCGCTGAGGATAGGCACTACAGCCTGGAGTCGAGTTGCATCAAGCTGACGCAGTGTCATCTTCGGAGCATGGGCCCCTGCGATTCGTTTCGGGCTGCATATGTTGGAGCGGGAGGCAAGCGTTGGGACTCTCGCAGGAGCAAGTTTGCTCCAACACCATGCATGTGACTGTGATCGGGAGCAAACATCAAGTCTGATCAGTCCATGTCAGCAGAAAGGTGTGGAGTAGGGATGGAGAGGGTAGGGCCCTTTTCGACGACCTACAGGTAGGTTGAAACACTTGGACCAATATCAGAAAACCAACCCTGAGCAATCCACGTCCCCGCATCCATTGCCCATTCACCACTGATGCAATCTGGAGTTACACCATCGCGTAGCGCGGCACTTGGAAATAAATCAGAAACCGCTAGGGCACCTACTAAAAAATATCTTGGGCCACGGCTGAATTACTACTTTCCTACATGCAAATCGAAAGGAAAAGGGGGGAATAAGTGTCGAAGTGCTAAGGAAACAAAAGAAACGGGCGTGCCAGACCGACACGAAGGATGACAGCGGCACGAGAGCCCCGGTGGAATTGAAAGGACCCCAGTGTGCGAAGCAGAACCTCGCTCGCCCATGACTTTTCCCCGTGCCTGCAGAGTTATCCATCAAGAACAAAGGATGCTCTCCACCTTCAGAAAATGTATTCCGCCTCAGTAGACAACGCCCGCTTGCAACAAGAACCTGAGACTGAATCCTGGTTTTCACAATCAGCGCTGCATCTCTCCCTACCACCCTCATTATCGCGATACCCCAGTGTGCGTGCTTCAAGCCTCCTCGGCATCGTGCTCCGCTAGCTGGCCGCTCTGCTCCCTGTGCATTCTGGCCTCGATCTCCTTCAACTGGCTCTCGCGGGCTAGCAGCTCCTGTCGCTTCTCATTGATCTCGCGCTGCACCTTGACCTCGATCTCGCGCAGCTTCTCCTCCTCGCGACGGAGTTGTTCCTCCTTCAGGCGGACCGACTGGCTGGCAAGATCCTCGGGGTTCATTGACGAGTCCCTGTCGTCGTGTCAGCAATCAATTGGAAGACGCAGATACGCCCTCATGGAGGGTGTATGGTGGGAAAACTTACGCAGCGGCACCACCCTCGACGCTCTTGCTGAGCTTCTCGGTTCGGTAGTTCTCGTATAGGAAGTCATGCGTGATTTCCTTCAGATCGGCAAGATGGCTGTGAAGGAGGGCGCTCCGGACTGCGAGGAAATCGGAGTGTCGGGGGTTGTCAACCTCGACCACACCCCACGGGTACTGTCGGGCGCGCACCTTTCGGCCGCTGATCTCAACCACGTCCTCAGACCCGACTATAGCGAATGGCATGAGCCCACGGAGCTCGGCGTTCTCCTCCACTGTGTCTTCGTCGTCCTCCTCAATATCGTACGGGAAGTTGTACACTGGAATGCGGTAGTGCTCAATATCCTCCATGACCAGCTTCTTCGACTCTGCGAGCTCGGCAGGCGTGAGGGAGTCTGCCTTTCCAATGACGGGGATGACATTGACACGGGGCGATAAGCGCTTCATGAGTTCGATATCGAGCTCACGGAGTCTGTCACTTTGGTAAGCGCGGGTACAGGCTGGGAGGGACGATAGGCTTACCCATGGCCAGTAGGGGTGATGAAGTAGAGAAGGACGTGGACTCGATTGTCACGGAAACGAGGGTTACGCTTGATACGGGACTCCTCGGCAAGAATGTCATCGTATTGCCTCTCCAGGTAGCCAACGATCTCCGAGAAACTGAACAATGTGTAAGCGGGTATAGATTGGGCGAAGAACCATCATTATGTACCTGGCCTCATTATCGATCTGGTCACCGAAGCCGGGCGTGTCGACGATGGTGAGGGAGATGCGGGTGCCCTCCTCATCGAGCTCTAGCTCTGGCGAAACTGGATCAGCAAACCATCATTGCCTTTTGATGAGTGTTCCATGGGGTAACCTACCGACGGTGATGGGCTTGATTTTCACGCCCTCTTCGACGTGTGCGGCGGTCGGGTCGTCCGAGTCCTTGTGCTGGAGGACCTTCTTGCCACAGAGCGTATTCACGAAGGTGGTTCGTCCTGATGGTGAAGCGTTAGAGTGGGTTGAGCCCAGATGGGAGAGCCACGTACCTGTGCCTGAGGCGCCGCACACCATCAGACAAAACTGGATTCCCTTCTTGACATTCTTCTTCCTGCGGGTCTTGAGCATCTGGTAGAGTGTTAGCGCATGCGCCAGCAGCAATTGATGCCATTGTGCGGAGACAGGGTAGGCAGAGGCCGGACAGGGTGCTATGGGGGATAGGAGTCCGTACCGAACTCATTGTAGGCGTTGGATGGTGCGAGCGGTGCGCGGGGGCAGGCGACGGGATGCTGCTGGATGGCGGCGATGCAGACGCGGTGATGGAGGAGCAGAGTCGGGGGCTCGCGGTGTGGGCGTGTTGTTGGAGGTGGTGGCCAGGAAATTTGGAGGTGCTCCTTCTCGCGGACGGCCCATGCGTAAGGGGTCGTAGCTACTCCCGAACGAGCCACGGGGGCCTGCACGTGACGCCAGCGTAGTCTGTGCAGTATAGCAGTGAATTGGGTGAAATACACTGGCTCAATTAAACTGCAAAGCCGGGTGTGGAGAAGTATAGAGGCTGCAATTCGTCCAATATTGGCGTCCAGCTGTCACGATGCCAGCGGAGCCTTTCCAGGTCATTCATGTCACTTCAGGGCTGCAATCCACATGCCCCATATGCTGGTCTCAAGACGAATTCTAGCACAGGCTCGTCGTCTTGCGGAACCTTAGAATTGGCATTTTGATAATGTGCCCTGGCCGTTTGCGCACGTGCCGTTACCCGTGGACCCGTGGACCCGTGGACGAAGCTCCCGTCTCCACTGACAGGGTGCCTCATTGCTTGAGCTTCTGAGGTTCCACGGGTCTCTCGAGGACAACCGTGTATTCACCACCTCACTTGCACCTTGGGATTCGCACCGCACTCCGCAGCGTACCTAAACCCACCATGGGTGCAGACTGGACCTCTAAATCGCACCACCTCGCCGGCCTGAAGCTGCCATAACTCACAGCCACCCCGCTGCTACCTAGGTACCCTCTGCCAGCTGCCGCCTCCTCTTCCGTTGTAGCGCATCGAGTCCACTCACCAACATGAATACGCGGCCCGCGATCGATGAGTCCTCCGGACCGGCTGTGTTGTCTGCCGCGTTCAACAGCGACAACAGCTGCTTCTCAGCAGCCCTTGAAAATGGGTTCCGAAGTGAGCTCACCATTCACCCCCAACCCGGCCATGCTGACTTCGCATGCAGTTTTCAATGCAAAGACCTGCGACATGAAATCTGCCAGAGGTGCGTTCCTCAAACCACTTTCAACCAACCCGTCCTTAACGATTCTCCACGATAGATCTCGGAACGGGTATTGGCTGTGCGGAGATGCTGGGTACAACAAAATACATCGCACTGGTTGGCGGGGGGAAACAGCCCAAATTCCCACAAAACAAAGTTAGCATGACTGAGGACTCTGGCGAAGAGTGGCTGCTGGTGCACCGAGAGGCTGACAGGCACAAGGTCATCATCTGGAACGACCAGACCCAAACTGCCGCCCTATCCCTCGAATTCCGGACACCAGTCCAGCGAGTACGCCTTTCGCGCGGCTACATAGTAGTCGTCCTCCTAAACAGCGTCAACCTTTACAAGTTCTCGAGCCCACCTGAGAAGATTGCTATATTCGAAACCACCAACAACCCATTCGGTCTATGTTGTCTGGGTGAGAAGGTGATGTTATTTCCCGGAAGGACCCCAGGCCAAGTGCAGCTGGTGGAGCTAGCAAAGCGCAACGTGAGCATCATACCGGCCCATGGGAACCCGTTGAAGGCATTGGAGTTGAGCAAAGACGGCGAAGTGATAGCCACTGCAAGCGAAACTGGGACACTGCTTCGGATATGGTCAAGCACCAACTGCACTAAGCTCGGTGAATTGCGCCGCGGACTTGATCCGGCAACAATCTTTTCTCTGTCCTTCTCTCCGGACAGCACGCTCTTAGCCGTGACGTCAGATAAATGTACTTTGCATATATTTGATGTTCCCCTTCCTAAACACCTGGAACAAGTATCCGTGGACAGGTCCCGCAACTCTCCCACGCCCTCCGGTACAGACGCAGACACGGGCCCTACGAACAAATGGGGCGTTCTTTCGAAATTACCACTCCTACCGCGAACGTTCTCCGACACGTACAGCTTCGCTAACTGTCCATTTGAGATTGGAGACGAACCGTTGGGCTGGGGTACCGGCAGTCGAGGGGCCAGTAAGTCGCCAACATGGAATGCCCCGATTCCTGGAGTTCCCGGAGGAAGGCCCACGAAAGGCCTTATCGGTTGGCTCAGCAATACATCTCTTCTGGTCATCGGTGCTGGCCACGATGCAAGATGGGAGAAATTTGTTGTAGGCCTGTCCCAAGAAGGGAAACGGGTCGTTTTTAGAGAAGGCTGGAAGAAGTACCTAGACTGAGCGATGATGCTTTAGAATAATAACAGGTTACTCACGCCCAGCTTCCTTCCGCGACCCCTGAATCGCACCTCAGGCGTGAGATTCGCGGCATCAGCGTCTGCAGCGAGTGGAACGATGGAGGTTCTTGTAACCACTACTGGATCACTTATTTGGGCTTCATTAACTGCACCACGCTGGATGGAACCGCCTCGAGTATCAGTGTTAATCAGAATGTCCAGTGCTACTTCTACGACAACGCGAGCTGTGGCCCCGGCGACGACCGTAACTTTCTCATAGTCGATTCCCCAGGCTCGCACAACCTCACATTGATCAGCTAGAATGACAAGCCCGCCAGCTTCAAGTGCTTCTGATAGAGACGCTGGGTGCTAGTGATGGCCTGACAGCGCGGGTGGAGCTTGCTGGGTCTTTTCACTCCTTTTGTTACTTCTTCTGCTTGTTTCATGGATAGCCTGCCCCCTTCCCTAACCAAATTGAACCCTCTTTCACTCCAAGTACAACATCCCAATGTGCACCCAAGCAATCTTTTTTCCTGTTCAGGGAATTGTGCTGCTCATGCTCCAGCCTGAGCTGTGGCTGTGCTAGGGTGAGCGCACCCTAAGCCGAGACTGAGTAGCGTGTTGAAACCCAGTTTTGGGCCCTATATTTGACAGGGAGGGTTGAGACTAGGGTCTTAACCCTGCCTTGGAAGGCCTATTTCTGGGCCCGTAGGCCTGCTAGGTTCTAGTTTTACGTAGGTTATACCAAGGATCTCTAGACTATCTACATATAAGAATACTGTCTTTAAGTACTAGGTAAGAAACCTCTACTTATTGGTTCATCAACACAATCCCTTACGTCCCTACTTGTTAGCTTGTTAACACGATCCATTGGGCGGGTAAGGTTCACTAACTGTCTGTAGCCCGCAGGGCGGACCGACTATTGCCCACACTAGAATCACGCGACTCGGACCATTTTGACCAGACATATTCCTGCTGCGTGATCACACCTTATTTTTGACAACTGCGATCGACAGATGATGGAGGTTCCTGGCTATCGCAATATCACATCCTCTAGCTCTTCAATTGGTTTCCCGACAGCCCTCACAGCTTCTCCGACCATCAACCCCTGAACATCACATTCCCCAACCAGACTCCACGAGCCATCCTCATCATATCTTCCGCACATGTTTTTCTGTCTCAACAAGAACGGCACATCTGCCCCCAGCAGTACATGCACTGTATCCCCAATCTCCGTTGCCGCAGGTCCAACGCCGAAGAAACAATTCTGCGTCACGAAACCTGTCGAATAGACTCCAGGAACTCCTGTGAATTCAGCTTTGACCAGAAGTACTGGAGGGCGATCATTGCCGTAATGCCAATCTTATGGAAGTTGATGGTTGCCTGGCCCCAATGCGCAATTGGTCGTCTCGCTAAGCCAACCTCTTGTATGATCCATGTTCTGGAGAAATATTCGGATTCTGATAGAGACACAAATCGGCCCATTGTGATAAAGGTCCAGAGAGGGTTGGCTTGGAAGAACGCCGTTAGGTGCAACAAGTTTTGGATTGCGTCTTCGACACGCAAGATGTCATTTTGGATAGTATCAAAGGCATCTGCGGCGCATCCTTTTTCATCAGGGCCAAGCTAGACAAAGACTTCTTCGGCGAACCAATGAATGTCTGTCATCAGAGCAACTTGCTTATTCTTCTCCGTGGTGTTGTTTTGATTGATCCAAAGTGCATCTACTCAGACAATCGTACGAGGTCCAGCCTCTTTGCGTATATGCCTGAGGGCTTGTCCAAGATTCTTGCCGATTGTGACTTCATGGCCGTTGCAAATGAAAGGAGTAGAGTCGATTCCCGTTCCCCAGACATAAGAAAGGGCTGCATACCGGGGCCGGTCATTGTGCACCATTTCTCCTCAGAGGCGCGCGCGGCTATCTTGCTCTGAGAAGAGGTGCAAGACTCGGATGGTCTTTTCGCCTTGAACGCGGCTGTATCTATATATCGTCGTGAACATGATTGCGAATGGGTGCCACAAGTCCAGTATCCCTGTTGCGAGCCGTGGTGACCTCCTTCGATGTGCCAGCACATATTGCGCCCCCGTTTGGAACTTTGCACGTGCTTTTGCGAAAGCATGTAGACCGCCTCGCAGGCAATTGAATATCCTTACAGAACTCCAGTCGGATCACAGCAAGGCATGATTTTGAAGCGAAAAGCAGACACCTTCTTTGTAGCCCATATCGCATTTATACATTAATACACCGATGGCCTTCTACCCAACGTCTTCTATTCCTTTGCATACGCCTTATTTTCCCTATACTCTTAGTCTACTATTGGTACCGGATGGCCATACACAACGACATCGATAACATTATGCTCGGTTTGCACGATGACTGATGCAACGCGCGATACAACAAATTCATGCAGCTCTTCGAGTACGTCACCGAAGGCAACCTCGGATCTTAGACACAGAAGTTAATGAGCAGGGTCGACGACGGCTCTTACGTTGCTCTCAACAGGGTATACCGATACGTCATCGCCCCACGCCTTCATATAGCTGAGGACAAACGGATCGCCGCTAGCAGCAAGTGGTCGAAAGGCGATAGGAGTTATCCAAGGGGAGGGCATCCGAGCCCCTGTTCCGAGGGTTTATGAACGTGTTCGTGGAGAGGTCGACGTCGAATCCAATATTTGACGGAGACGAGGATACATTGAATGGCCGAGTGTTGGGCGAGTGCGCCTAGCGCCATGATGAGGACGTGGTCTTGGAGCACAATCTTGCCTTTAATTATGACCCAAATGCATGGTCGCATCGAATCCCTCCCGACTGTTTGAACCCACATGGGCCGACGGATGCAGAGACCTTTCTCAGTGTGGTTGTTATGTTCGATAGGAATAGTGCGGTGGAGATACGAGTGGCCAGAGGAGCGTGTGGATAGGCGGTACGTATATCGCTTGCCCGCAATGTTACCAGCAGCGATGCTAGCGCCCAGGTCTGACTTCATCCGATCTTTGGGTATTATGGGATAGGCTACGAGTCCAATGAGGGTTCCTAGAGACACGCGTTTAACGTTAGCCCTGCGAGGTCCGTAGTCGAGACGTAGCTTGCGTAAGATACTTCTTCCCAGACGGATCGAAATGACTATCGATGAAGAGAGTCCACATTTGTGATGCACAGAACTGGAAGAAGAAACGCAAGCTCGTTCTTCCCAATCATCTCACTCAGAAAGCGGCAGACTTACCCATGCCCATATACTCTCTTGTTCCTTGGCCCGTAACAGATTTCCTCGAGGTACATCATTCGCCTAGCTCTTACTTCTCTCATGTATTTATCTTGATCGGTACTCCTTTGCGGCTCCTCCTCCTCCTTGGACAACAAAAGTCTGGCAATTGCATAGCCGACGCAGACGCAGAAGCCGGCTACGAGCATGCATATGAGGATAATCCAGCCCTATGATCGGAGCTTAGCTACAGAATGCTTGTATGGAAAACGCAGACGTACGGGTGCTACTGCGTAAGCCATTTCATCTCAGTTTTTTTCTCTGACTCCGCGGTGGTGATTAAGCTCAGACGATATAAAGTAGCTAGATAATATAGCAAAGAGTCTAAGAAATTATGCGTCCTACTTCACGATAAGGGATAATGGAATCGCGAAGCGTTCGAGTGTCTGAAAGATTAGTATGAGTATCGCGAGACCTAGATGTGGTGGGCTGAGCCCAGTATATCCGACAACTGATCTATACAGCCTGCTCCGGATGCTCGGAAGGAAAAAGCAAGGGTGTGAGGATCTTGCTACAGATATGCCCACACGCACGTGACTGTTCAATACCCATTCGAAGGACCGGGGTAGAAAAGCCAGAACATATCGACGCAGGCCAATAGTCAAAGAAGAGAGCATGGGTGTTCCGGATGTACGAACAGGCTGACCATTGGCAGCCAGCGTCTTCATGTGGAGGCTGACGTGGCCCCGCGAGGGTCGCATACCCACATGCTGCAGCGGCTATCTAATAATACGCCGGGAACGTATACTATTTGCGAAGTCGCTGTTCGGCGATCGGATTACTGGACGGCTTCTTCCGGCGATGATACGAGTAAACAGCAGAGGACCTGTGACTGTAAATCTGGAGCCTATGCGTTACCGAATCAGCTTCCGATGCGCAAGCAAGTCGATATTGATGGCCACGAGTTTTGGGGTTTTTGTAGATACGGAAACTATTGGGATGAGAATATTGGACAGATACGAGACTGGAATGGGATTTCGACGAGTAATCAGTGTGAGTTGCGCTGGAATCGATGTCACTCGAGGTGCTTTGGTATGCCATGTTCTGGTGGGTTCTCTGCCAGTGCGTGTCATTTGGTCGTGAGAGTTGGTCGTAGTCAGTCCGGTCTGGCGATGGGATGTCGGGTATCCTGGACGCTAGTTCGTTTGCGTCCTAGAAGTGCTAGGCAGGGTTGCAGGGTAGAATGGCAGTCCCACACTGTCTGAGCATGCCCAGAGGACTATCAGGCTTGTTAATGCTATCTTTTACGTTGTTTGAAGGTGTTAGACCCACGTAGCCGTAGACTGCCACTTTATGTTCTGCCAGGTGGTAGATGAACCCCCTCACAGTATTGTTGATCACCATCACTACTCACACACAGTAGATTAAATTATGCACTGAGATATGAGATTGACCCTCATATCTGGTACCGGGGATTGGACTTTTTGAATGCTAGTCCGCAAGTTATGATCTTCTGATTCCCTATTATTTGCCCCGGACCCATGTCATGTCAAAGCTTATCTGGCATCCCTTGCTGAAGTCTCTCTGCAGTCAATAACTAGACATACTCCAGCTTGTTTAGTTCTGGTGATATATAGGCCATACGTTAAGCTCTGTTAAAAGAACTGTTATCGGTGGGTCGCTATACTGAATTCCGCAAACGCAAGAATTATATTCAACCCTTCTTCCGCAAACGTGAAGATAGGTAGCATCTAAGGCAAGATCTCAGAAAACGTTAATCAACATCCGAGATGCGTATTGCGTTCGTTGACTGGACAAGCCGTAACCATGGTTGAAGGTTTCCGACTAAGGACCGCACACCCCGCAGTCTCCCTCTCCAAGCTCATGCAGGTACGGAAAACCATTACCACATTCGCAATGACCTCTCGTGCCGACCCTCGTGCCAGCAACAAAAACACGGTGCTCAGGGATCATAACCATTTTGGGTTAAGAATTCTACAGTTCTGGTAGTCCAACACTCGCATCCCCATTCTGACCTATTTCTCTCCCCCATCACCACCACACCATGCCCCCCGGCATCCTCTGGGTCGCCTCGCGCATCAAAACCCCCACTCTAACCCCCGAAACCTTCTGCGCCTGGTACGAGAACGTGCACATCCACGAAATGACCGCGCTCTCGGGCGTGCCGCGCGCCGCCCGCTACGAAGCCATCCAGCCCGAGCCCTACCCCAACGCACTCTCTTCCGACGCGCCCTGGCTCACCGTCTACGAGATGCCGGACATCGATTTTCGAACGACCAAAGAGTTCCGCGGGCTGGACGGCCAGAGCGAGCCGGCGGCGGAGCTGCTGGAGGGCGTGTTCAAGAAGGCGCGGTTTGACACGCGGTTTTACGAGTGTGTGCAGGTACATGAGAAGGAAGGGGGCGCGAAGAAAGGTATGGCGAGCTACAGAGCAGCCCAAGTGACGGGACCACGGTTTGATTTTCGGAGTGGCTGACGGATGTGTAGGGCCGGCGTCTCTGATTATCTCTGCTGCGTTGACTCCGGCGCCTGGGAAGGAGGATGATTTCGATGCGTGGTATAGGCAGGAGCATCTCCCGCTTATTGGAGAGGGTGCTGGGTATCGGCGTTCGCGACGGTTCAAGTTGGTTAATGCTACTGCTCTTGATGAGTTTAAGAGGATTGAGCCCGAGGTTCCGTCGTATCTTGCCATTCATGAGTTTGATGGCGACGAGCTTCCGATGGATGAGCTTGCGAAAGTGGATGAGACGGAGTGGAGCAAGAAGGTTGTTGGAGAGTTGACCCAGATGGAAGCGGGCTTTTACAAGTTGAAAAGGCAGTATGAAACGGAAAGCGAAGCGAAGCTGTAGGTCGTCTCTTGGGCTCGATGTGTTGCAGTGTAATAGATCTGAAAGTAGTAGTAAATCTACCCCCTCCTCTCGAACGATTGTGTACGAAGCCTGGCGACTACGGAACGTGAATGACATGGCTCATCACAAAAGATCTCATGCTTTCCATTCATCCTTAGACTAGTAGTCTACTTCTCTTCATCACCAATGCTCCTTCCCAGACAGTTCCAACCAGCAGCGCACCCGTAGAGTTACGATGCCCAAATCGCACCGATTGCGCGAAACCAAAGCTAATCTATGCTGCCAAGTTCGGGAAGAATAAATGGCAGCAAGAGAAGCACTACGCCTTAACCAACACTGTTTATACATAGACGCCAATTGCGCACACATAGAAAGAAGAAAACGCTCCACTATGGTACTGCGCGCTTCCTTTCCTGGAAAACGCGAAGAATGAGAAGATTAAGTAGATAGAAAGGCAAGAAGGCAAGACTAGAAGCGTGCACATGCTCTGTCGAAATTCCGTCGAAAAACACCGATTGATACGAAGCGAGAAGACGGAAATGAATAGCGGCACCTGAGCTAGTTGGAAGCAAGCCACGGTAGGGATACCTCGGCACTAGGATGTCAGAACGTAGAAACGCTAGTGGCCTTAGCCTATTCGTGTGTTTTCGATCGACCCCTGTTGTTTATGGACTGGCGGATTCTGATGAGGGCTCTGCCAGAAATCCAAACTCGCGATAACGTCGTTTCCAATTTCGTCCTCATACGCGTATAGTATCTTGCCATGGTCAGTATGGCTGCTCAAATTAGAAGGTGTAGCATAACGTACCTCTCTCGTGGAAGAGTGCAGCATCCGGATATTCTTGGCCGTCAGAATATGCACCAGTACGCCACTTTCCATGTGCCGAATCTCAATAAAGCTTGGCTCAAAGGCCAAGATATATGGATTGAAGATTGCGAAGGCCTGCGGATTACCTTCCCATACAATCTTCCAGTCAGGCCTCGCTCGCCATCCATTTCTATTGACGAACAGAGAGAAGTCTGTGTAGCAGAGCAGGAACTCGCTCGCAAGCCTCTCAATGTGAATGGGTTTAATATTCTCTTTGCGCGCGACGAAGTCAAGCGACGTGTCGGCTTGATCAAGCAGAGACTGCGTTTCCAGGGTCTCGAGACTAACAACTTCGAAGCCACGAGCACAGCCGACGCATAACTTGGAGCGTAGGAAATGAATCGAACTAGACTCTGTAGGAATGTAGAACTCCTGGTATAGATTAGCACGGATTCAGAAGATTGGAGAGGGTCTGGTTGGAGAACGGGGGAAGAGATCATATCAAAGTCGGTTTCAGATGCAGTCTCTACCGGAAGCGTAAGAAAAAAGGGTAGACTAACCTTGTATGGCTTCAGGACATCTTGGCCGCCAGCCAGCATCTTCGCCAAACCAGACTTCTTGGACTTCTTGCCCATATTATCCATGGGCTCGAATACTTTGATGGTGGTTGACAGCGAGGTGGTTTTGACGCAAGCAACAAGCTGCTGGCCCAAGCATACTCCGGCTTTGAAGAAGTTGCAATGACAAATTTTTCTCCCCCGCTTGACCACAGAGGCTTGGCTCTCCTCTGGATCTAGTGCCTCCATGGGGTAGGAGTACAGGGTCTTCTCTGTTAGTACGAGCAAAACTGAATGCTGCTCGAGAACGTCAACTTGAGTAACTGATTTGCAGTCCAAGACCCGCTTTGGCTTGAAAGAGGAGTCCTTTGGCTTGCGATCACAAACGTAGACACCAGAATCAGTTCCTAGGACAAGTTTACGACCACCATCTGCATCCTTATTAGCAAAGTAGCTCAATATCTATGGCCGGTGTTTTCATACCAATCGGAACGCAACAGGTGACCCGCATCGCTGGAGTGAAGAAACCCTCGTTCAAAATGGTCTTGGTGAAGATGTTGCTTCGGTCTTTGAGGTTCTTCTGTTGAGCCTCGATATGCTCCATCCACTTTTGCTGTGAGATCTGGGTACTGCAGAATAGAGTCAATTCATATCCGCCCTTTCCCAGATGCTTAAAGGTGATTGGATATCCCTGTGCCTTTGCCGCATCTCCCTTGGGGGTGTTCGAAGTCATTGACTTTGTGCCCGGTAATAAGTTTGACGACGGTCTCTTCGTTATGCCCATTTTGGGCATAAACTCCTCCATCTGTGTAATGACAAGCAGCTCGAGCGGAATAGGCTTCTTATATACCTTGTGCTCTTCGCGCTTGTTGACCAACTTCACCCTGACAAGGAGGACTGCGTGATCGAAAAGATAGCAGGTGATGTCTCCAGTGTTGTCCGTTGGGTTCTTCTTCAAGGTGCCTTTGAAGACAAGCTGGCGGTTCTCCTCGGTCAGCTTGAGGTCCACATACTCCCCTGGGCGGAACTTGAGGTCTCTGTTGAGTTGCATAAGGTTGAAGTGGTTCTCTGCTTTGCCGGATTCCTCGTTCACCTTTGAAAGGATGCCCTTGATCATGGCAACGGCTTTTGGGATATCCTGCTTGTCCGGATTGTCTTCTGCTGTGCACTTCAATATGGCCTCTAGCAGCAGAGGGTATCGTGCTAATCGCGTGGTTGGCTTAGTGAGGTATCCGTTGAGTTCTAGCTTTCTCGACTCCCTCATCCTCTCAACCTGATCTACGAATTTAGAGAAATTTACGTTCGTTCGCTTCTCATGCTCAAACTCGTATTTCCCGAAGAGTTGGTTCGCGCCGTACTTGATGAAAGGACTAAAGTGAGGCACGTATTCCAGGAAAATATCTCCGACATTGCGGACTACAGGGTTCTGCTGTTGGCGTCGCGTTAGAGATTCCGCGAGCCTCGAATTGACCATGTAGACTTCTTGACAGTTGGAAAATACAGTCCGGACAAACTTTTCTCGTCGGTGTTCCGGAATCGGCGATCCAACGGCTTGGCGAAGCGGCTTCATCCAGAAGTCACGAAGGTACTCTAGATCCTTGACGAAGTCCCGCTCGGTGTACATCAGCTCGGAAATGACCTCCTGGCGCTTCTTCTCTTTGTCGTTGACGCTGTCTGCGACTTCTTTCGATACGGTGTTGATCCAAAGCTTTTGCTCATCATCTTTGTCATCGTGCAAGCTCGTACGTGATTCTTCCCGTTTCAGACCTAGCTGTGGTTTCATGTTTAGTCTAGCCTGCTGTTCCAGTCGACGAGGGCAGGCGATGGAGTAGCAAAGTCGGTGGCTTGTGCAAGTTGGCGAATAACATTCGGTGAGAAGAGTAAACACGCCGTTGACCTCCGTGGTATCTTCGAGCAGAGTTTCCCGGAACTGGTATACCTCGTTGTTGGAATCTCGTAGTCTGTGGGCATATGTGACATCATGGAAGAACTTTTGCGCGTCCAAGGACCTGCCTAAGAGTAGCGCCAGATTACGATCCGTGGTCTTGATGATGAACGATATGAGGTCTACGGCTTCTGCTCCCGTGAAAGCACTCTTGTAAACCAGGCCGTCCTTCTCCTTTTCATAGAGGCCGATGCGGTCTCTGAATATTTCAGCGACGCGAGACAATAGCGCAGGATACACCAAGGGGGCTCGGCGCTGCGCGACCATCATAGCTTGCTGCTGCATTGCTGTAGTCGGTGTTCTAGAAGCACTCGAGGGGTTTGACCTCAAGGTCATGGAGTCACTTCGTTCAGAAGGTGAAGGCACAATGGTAGAGGCCATGGACATGGTTCGGCCGGGAAAACTGCCTTGGCTCGTACTCCTAGTCTTGCTTCCAGGCCCAACATTGATTGGAGGCGGAGAACCAGCTGGAACTTTATCTACCGCGGAGCCATCTTGTCCTCCTGATTCTCTACGCCGGTTCGGTATTATACGCCCGCTCATCGTTTGCGCGTACTCGCTGTCTCTAGCATATGAGGACATGGACATCGTCCGTTCGTCAGGGCGCTCAGGCACAACTCGCCCCTGTGCGGTTGTCCTTGCAAGATGGTTCATATACGGTTGCTGTCGAAAAGCCTGAGCTGGATTAGTAACTCTCGCCGTAGAAGAATCCTGGTTACGCGTTGCTGAACCCACCGGGCTTTCGTAGCCTCTCCCACTGGGAGCGTGAAATTGAGGACGAGATCCCACGGCCATGGATTGCGATCGATACTGATCAGAGTTCAAAGCAGGGGCAGAAGGGGGTGGTATGCCACCACTTGGGTATCGGTTAGGAACTGGCTTGTTGAATGGCGGCGCTCCCGGAGGTGCCATGCGCGAGTCTAGTCGCTGAGGCTGTCCATAGGGCTGACGCTCTGGACGTAAAGGCTGTGGGAGATATTGCGGCTGGGGCTGGCGCTGTTGTGCGGGAATTCCGGCACCATCCGAGTGTCGCTGTGGTGGGGGCCCATAGCCATTCATGGAGGTTCGGCTTTCGTGATCTGGGGGCGGCTGATTGTATTGACCAGAGGGATTGGCATACCCATACTGGGGCCGCTGGTCGTAGCCGTTTGGCGGTTGTTGCCGTGGAGGGTTACCGTTCATGGGCTGTCTCATGGGCGGCGCTCTTCCCATCATGTCGCTGGACATGGTCTGGGCCCGGTCGACAGGCCGCATAGGCGGCTGGGAAGTCATGGTCTGGGACCGGCCTGGCGGTGGAGGACCGAATATATCATTGAATACTCTGTCCCTGGCGGGACCTGGCGTCTGGCCACCATAATTCCCTGGAGGTCGTGCATATTCTCTCCCCTGCTGGGTGCCGTAGTCCGCCATCCAGACTGATTCTCTCAGTACAGCGGCAGAAGGGCAACCCGCATCCGCTCAAGTCACTGCTGGGTAGGTGAGGTACGTTGTTGTGGGAGTGGGGCGTGATGCTCGCGGGGACCGAGGATGGGTATTGAGGAGGTCACAATCGCTCCACACGGCCGTCAACAGCCGGTGGGTGTCGTGGCTGTGAGAGTTTGTGCCTGTGAAGGATCAAACAGGGTGCTAGGACGGGCGTAGGGTCCGAAGAATGGATATGTGGGAGCAGTGAGGATGGAGGAGTGGGTTGGGTGCGGAGAGCGGCCGGCCCAGCGAGAGGGTCAGGCGGCGCAGGAAGTTCGGGTCTGTCGCTCCGGGAGGGTGGGTAGAAGGCGATAGGATCTGGGAGGTAGGGCGTGCTGTCCGGGCGGATACTGAGGTAGAATGGGAGTTTGCGTGTGTCGGAGCCCAGACAGGTGGAGAATCAGACAGTTGGGAGTTCAGAGCCCAGTCTGCGAATGGCTAGAATGCATTTGGCCCGCGCTAGCCCCGGCCCGCATCTTCTGTCTCGCGGACGTCGTCTATCACAGCTCATCGATCATTCACGCTCCAAACAGCCTTGAACATCAGCTTGTACCAATTATCCAGTGACCGCGCTCTTTACCCCCCAGACTGCCGCTATGGAGAACGAGCTGGCTCCGAAGTATGCGCCGTTCTTCGGCATGGTGAGTACCCTGTGTCAATCATGAAGTAGCTCCAGCTAACATCTGCAGGCTGGTGTTGCATTTGCTGTAGGTCTTCTATTCCCACTGAAAGCCTAGGATGCTCACGCAGTGCTTGCTAGATGATCTTCGGATGTTCGTCACCACCACCGCCCTCCGCAAAAAGCAACACTGACCAGCTATCTCAGGCGTTGGGGCAGCATATGGAACGGCGAAGTCAGGGATGGGCATTGCGGGCGTTGGTGTCTACAGGCCCGACCTGATAATGAAGGTAGCAGCCCCACTGCTCCGTGAACGACTTGCGACTGACGTATCTCGAAGTCCCTCATCCCCGTCGTCATGTCCGGTATCCTCGCAGTCTACGCCCTAGTGATATCGGTCCTCATCGCGAACGACCTGAAGCCGCCGCCGAAGAACTACAGTTTATTTGCCGGGTTCATGCATCTGTCCGCGGGGCTGTCGGTTGGTCTGACCGGCATGGCGGCAGGGTACGCTATTGGAATTGTGGGAGATACGGTCCGTTGTCACCTTGTGAGGGAATAGGCAGCACGCTAACGTCGTAAGGGTGTGCGAGCATTTATGCGACAGTCGAGGATTTTCGTGGGCATGGTGCTGATTCTGATTTTCGCTGAAGTCCTAGGTCTTTATGGGTAGGTCACAGAAGCTCTTCCATGCTTGGAGTTTGGGACTGACAGGCTTGTAGACTGATTGTAGCACTCATCCTCAACACACGCAGCTCAGGATAAGGAGAGGGTGGAGCTGTACCATAGGTCTCTTTGGTTCGACTGTATATTAGAGGAGTCTGGAACGGCGGTGCGGATTGGGCTGCACATCAGTTGAGAGGGCACTATCATATGGGTCACGTGAGCGAGAGCAACATGAGCAGAACTGAAAGCACTCTCTCTTTCTAGTCCCTGCTCATAAGCTAGTGTATACTTGCTCTGGACTACCTAGTTCGGGCTTTTGGAAACGTATCGAGTCACTTCAAATAATTGTATGTATAGATATGAAAGAAGGGACTGGTGATCTGAATGTGCCATCTGCCTGACCTGTCAACCGACATGTACATACGGAATTTAGTAGAGCTTTTCAAGGCACTGTTCTTTTATTATATGAAAGCACCTGGCCAGCACAGCTCGAAACAACGGTTCCGCTGTTCTGCCGCTAGCTGCTAGCTCGTACACCTGTCACCTCTCCGCAGCGGCCCACGGATTTGATTCACGGACGCGATCGTGGCGCTGTCAAACTAAGACGATGCAGTCGTGACGTGCATCAGAAGCCGGCCTCTTCGTCCCACGCCGAGTCCCGCAAAGCATTGAATGCTGAGGGTGAATGAAGCTCCAGATGCTGGACACCTCGACAGTTCTCGACGCCCCATTCCTCCATCCAACTCTCCATGAATCCCGCGAGCGCTACACGGATTGCACAATCTCTCCAACAACTCGCGGTCCACGACGGTTTCAGGCTGCTTCGGGCGTGCCGATAGTGAATGCATGCAGCCTCATCCTCTCCTGGCTCCCGCGCCGCCAGCCCCAAGCGTCACCGGCGCCCAACCGGCCTGCAACCCCGCTGACCTCGCTCGCCGTGCCTCTCCCGGCTTGCTCGTAGTTGTCGACGTCTGACGTGCCGGACTTCCTCCAGGCTCTCTCCAACCACACATGCCTGGGCCCTGATCCACGGCTGAATGCGACTTCTCTCGCGCGCGCAGGCCTCTCCCACACGCCGCCTCCCGGCGGAAGCCATGACCTAGCCGCAAGGCAATTGCACTCCGCCTGCCCTGCGCCCGCCGCGCTCGCCGCGCCCGCTGCCCCCGATGGCTTCGGCCGCTGTGCACAAGCTGCTCCACCATGAGCGCTCGCATCCCGACGACCAGCGCGACGAGTCGCCCCAGCCCGATCCCCACGAGTTGGACGCCATGGAGCGCGTCCGCGACGACGAGAAGCGCATGCTGTCACAGTGGGAGGACACCAAGCGCCCCCTGAGCCCGACCCAGATGCACGGGGATGCCAGCCGCAAGATAGTCGGGCACTCGTCGCGAGTCCTGCGCCAGCAAGACTTCGAGCTCATCAAGACGCTGGGAACCGGTAGGGTGCACCAATACTAGGAGACGGCCGTTGCTGACATGGACCGCGATGCGCAGGCACTTTTGCGCGAGTATGGCTCGTAAGCCTCGCGAGCCCCAAGGACGGCGCTGCAACCAAAGTCTTTGCGCTGAAGATTTTGCGGAAAGTCGACGGTACGTAGAGACTCGATCGCTGCACGGCGGCAACCTGCAGCGCCCGCTAACCCGCGCGTGTCTTTTCAGTCATTCGACTGAAACAGGTCGAGCACGTCCGCAACGAACGAAATGTGCTTGCGAGAGTAGCAGGACACCCTTTCATCACGACTATGGTGGCCAGCTTCCAGGACCACGATTCTCTCTACATGCTTGTAAGCGACCCGCTGCATCGCAACATCTGCGACATCAACTGCTGACACAGTGCGTGCTACACAGCTCGACTATTGCCCTGGAGGCGAAGTCTTTAGTTACCTACGAAGAGCTCGACGTTTCAATGAGCCAACATCCCAATTCTACGCCGCCGAGATCGTTCTCATTCTGGAGTTCTTGCACGAGAGTGAAGGAGTCGCATATCGGGATCTAAAGCCGGAGAATATATTGATAGACGCCCAGGGACATTTGAAACTGGTAGATTTTGGATTTGCGAAGAAGGTTGACAACAGTAGGTGTTTGTGGCTGCATTGGCTGCGTTTAGGGCTTATGATCCGCAGGGGAAACATACACGCTGTGTGGAACGCCAGAGTATCTCGCGCCGGAAGTCATTAGAAACACTGGTATGTTGATACCAGAGCACAATTGAGACCGAAAACACTAATCGATTCTAGGACATGGCTGCGCGGTCGATTGGTGGGCCTTTGGCATTCTAGTTTACGAATTCTTAGTCGGACAGCCACCGTTCTGGGACCAAAATCCCATGAAGATCTACGAGCAGTAAGCCACCACTTCCCCCCTCTCATTGCAGCGCATAAATCTCGGAACACTTTCTCACTCACACCTCCCACAGAATCGTAGAAGGCCGTGTGCGCTACCCCTCTGCCATGTCCGCCGACGCGCGCGACCTCATCGCCGGCCTCTGCACCGTCGACACCTCCAAACGGCTCGGCAACATCCAAGGTGGCGCTAGAACTGTGAAGGAGCACCCCTGGTTTCGCAACATCGACTGGGATGCGCTCTACCACCGCCGCGTCCAAGGCCCAATCGTGCCGCATCTCCGCGGGCCCGCCGACACACGCAACTTCGACGAGTACGAGCCGGAGCCGGAGGGGCGGGAGGAATACTCGGCCGATATGCGCGATAGATGGGATGAGTGCTTCAAAGATTTCTAGACTGGTTAGTGCAGGGGCTTTTGGATCGGGGGTCCCTTGGAGATTCATTGCAGCGTCTTTGGGAAGAAGGAACGGCGGGATGTTGCAAGGCAGAGGGGCTGTTATTCATCGCTAGGGACTGTCTTCGGCGCAACTTGAGGGTTGGGGTGGTTTTAACGTGTTGATGGTGTGAATGGCATTACGATACCTGGATGTACAGTTCATATTTTGAATAGGGCTTCTGGGCTTGTATATTAGTACTTTTGCATATTTTTTGATTCATTCGGATTTAGGCATCGTGCAAGTCTCTCATACAAAGCCTCGTCATAGAAAAATTCGTGCACTCGTTTGCCGCTGCATGAGGAGCTTCGGAGTATTTTCTGCATTCCGAATAAGAGAGAGGTTGGGTATTTTGGACAACTGGTAAACTCGCGAGGCGACTCCAGACAGTGTCAACAGCGTGTACGCAGATTGGAAGTGTATTTGCTGCCCCAGTTTCTGTGAGTACGTTGGAGCCCTACAGGCAGTGGCAGGAAAGTGTACGGATATCTATGGCAAGGCATTGTTCAGCGCAGCGTCATCACATAAACTATTCAAAGAGTAGTTCAATCGAAGAAAACAGGACACCAGATTCACGAAGAGAACTACTGTACAGTCAAATCCCGGATTTTCTCAATCCGGTGCTGAAGCTCTCCATCAGTATACGACAGTCTCCAAAACAGTACCGATTAGGCGCTGATTGAGAACTGTTCCTTTACGTACACTTGCAGAGAATAGAAGCCCGGAAAATCCGACGCCATCGCAAATGGGACAAAGAACCAGTAGAAATCAAGGGAAATTCGAGAAAAGAAAACAAAGAAATCAGTAGTACAGTGTCTGATCGAGGCCAGCCCAACTCTCCGCGCTCTGGATGACCATGGCACTAAAGCGAGCCAGATTCTCGCTGAAGATGGACTCGCCGACGTCGTAGCTGATGGGGATGACGCCCAGGAAGTGACGACCGCTGCCGAAAGCGCCGTTGCGGCCCATGGAAGGCGTGTTGCTGTACTTCCACTCGCGAAGAGAGCGGTGGAGGTAGAGGCAAAGCATGAGGAGGAACAGGGAGAGCCATTGGAAGATGTGCTTGGTGGAGGGCATCCGGGACTCGACGATAGGAGGGTCGTTGATGATGGTGTACAAGGCTGATTCTCCGAGCTGCTGGATCGGAGCCTGGGCGGGAGTCTTAGTGATAGGAGGGGCCGCAGACGCATCGATCGGAGCCGCGTTGATGGTAGTCGTGATGTCTGACTGCTGGAACTGCGGAGCCACGGGTTCGACGGAAGGAATGTCAATCTCGTTGATCTCGCTCATGGATATGACGGGAACGGGAGCGATGATGGGCGACATGCCAATGCTCCTAACTAGGGTAGCTTGAGGTTCGACGGGAACAATCTCAATTTCTTTGATCTCGCTCATGGAGAGGACAGGAGTGGGGACGATGATGGGCGACATGCCAATGCTCCTAACCAGGGTAGGTTGAGGTTCGACGGGAACAATCTCAATCTCTTTGATCTCGCTCATGGACAGGACAGGAGTGGGGCGGATGATGGGCGACGTGCCAATGCTCCTAACAGGGGTCTGCGTAAGGATTGGGACTTGAGGTTCGATGGGTGCTTCGTCGACAAAGGTCTTGAAAATGAAGCTGAATTGCTCAGGCTCTTCTTCATCAAGAGACTCGCCGGTCTCATTTAGCTCATCTTCCAGTGATTCTTGAGTCGTGAAGCCAGTGTTCTCGAGGTTTGTGCCCATAGCCTTCTCCAGCTGAGCGTGCAACTCGCGAATTCGTTCGTCCTTAGTAGCGAGTTCGCCGTCCTTAGCCGTGAGCTCATCGTCCTTCGCCTTCAATCTGGCGTCCAGGGATTTGTCGGCAGTCCTGACTTTCTGAAGATCGGTCTCGAGGCGTGAGATGCTGGCGCCCTTGGCAATGATGTCGGTGTTTTTTGCTTCCAGATCCTTCTTCAGTTGCTTGACATCGGCCTCCAGCTCGGCGATCATGGCGTTCGCATTTGGCAGTTCGTTAGCTGAGGCCTTAAGAGTTTCCATCGCGGTCTGGTTCTCGTCAAATTCACGCTGGAGGCTTTCGAGCTTTTCCTCGGACTCGTCGTAATCGGTCTCCCAACTGCTGATGGCCTCGTCTTTAGTCTTGATATCGGCCTCAAGTTCGGTGATGTCGGCATTGAGAGTGGCGATGGTCTCGTTTGCGTCATTATATTCGGCGGTTTTGTTGTCCAAGTCCTGAGTTTTGCGCTTAAGTTCTTCCTCAAGCGTGGAGATTTGCGTGGAAAGCGTGTCGTTGGCGGTGGTCTTGGCGGCGATTTCGAGGGCCTGGTCGTTGATGGTGTTTTTCGACGCGGCAAGCTGGACGTCTCTCTCCTTGACAGTGGCATCCGCCTTGTCCTTCTGGTCCCCTACACGCTTGGCCTCGCCCTCCAGCCACTCGACATGCTCTTCCAGGCCCGAATTGGCGGTCTTCAAGCGTTCGATTTCCTTCTCCATGTCGGAGACTTTGTTTTGCGCAGCCTTGGACTCCTGGTAATAGAGATTGGTGGTGTTTTGCAGGTCGGCGCGAAGCCTTTTCTCGCCTTCAAGCTGCTGTCTGAGGTCCCCCAGCTCGTTGTTCGTGCGGACGTTATGCTCAAATTGAAAGGTGAAAGGCGGCGGGCCCGCCCGCCGGTCTTGGTTAGGGTCTGCCATGTTCAGACACGTGACAGTATACTAAGAGGAGAGGAAAATGAAAGAAATCTTGCGTACTAGGAATTGAAGAAGGAAGAAGAAGCTGAGATCAGGAGTGGTAGAAGATGATATACACTACAGGGCCTATTCAAGACAATAGTTATTCAGCACAATAGGATTCATATCTTCACCGTGATCCTATTGTCGGCCTGCACAATACTTCCGAAGTCGGCCCGAACAGCTGTAAATGGTAGGTCACGTGATAATTCTCACCAACCCACCTGAAAAAAGTAGCACACTTACCAAGCACTGTACCTCCTGTCTACACCTGCCTGCCACCATTTGAGGTGCTTCAACGAGTTTCCACATAGCCCACGATGAAAGGTTTCTGTCTCCTTTCAACTCCTGAAAATGCATTGACGCGCCTCAAACAGTGGCAGACAGGTGTAACGAGACAGCTTGACATCCCATCTAAGGTGCGTCCCTGCCTAGCGAGAAACCCTATATGGCGAGAAAATCAATAGGTACATTAACTTTAGGCAACTCAAACTCTATGCACACACTAATATTTCCTACAGTTCTATATAAGTCGTGTACTATGGCCACTACTAAATACTTAGAACACCTCCCACTTAAAAAATTACATTCGCATCGTCACCTTTATGCCTAATTTGCAGAGAGCCTTCTTTCATAGCGTATTAGAATTCCTTCGCCACAGCACCCCTTTCAAGCTCTTATCACTCCTGATGTTTATAAGAGGGCCTTATCTGAGCCTTAAAGCCTTATTACCATACTAGGAGGAGTCATTAGCCTTGTGGCTGCTATCGCATGCAAATTCATGCAGAGTCGCCATATCAATTGGTACCTCCAACCGAAGAGATCACTAATCCTGGCTAGTGCAAAACAGCCCATATAATCGTTACTGTGTAACTTACAGTGGCTGTTAGACCTGTGGCTGTGCACAGTCTTGGCAAGCAGACCTCAGCCGTGCACTCAGCCTCGGGCATAACGTAATCCGCATGCAAGCTGGCCACGCATGCATCCTGGCCACCCCATCAACACGCGACGCGTGATACAACTACAACCTCAATGCCTCCACCACAACGACGAGCAGACCCCTCTAAAGAGGGCAGAATTTATCTGGCTATCCAAGCGCACAAGCAAGGCCAATTTAGAAGTTTTCGAAAGGCCACTAGCACGTACGACGTGCCCCGAAGCACCGCACAGCTACGCGTCAAGGGCATCAAGCCAAAACGCGATTCTATTTCACCAAATCGCCGTCTCACGCCTGCATAAGAAGAGAGCCTCAAGCAATGGATTATATCGATGGATCAACGCGGAATGCCACCTAAGATCGCAATCGTACGGCAGATAGCTGGCCTGCTAGCTGCCTAGCGTGCTGGGCCTGGCATACAACAATCTATTAGCGAAAAATAGGTTTCCAACTATATTAAGCGCTATCCCTTAACCTGTCGATTAAGGCGCAACGCTCGGGCCACTTTTTGTAGCCAATCAGATGCACCGCATCGGCCCCTGAGTATGAGAGCTACGGAGAGATGA